TGGTACAGGAGGCACGGGGCTAGAGAAGAGATGGAGTGATGTGGTACAGGAGGCACGGGGCTAGAGAAGAGATGGAGTGATGTGGTACAGGAGGCACGGGCTAGAGAAGAGATGGAGTGATGTGGTACAGGAGGCACGTGGCTAGTGAAGAGATGGAGTGACGTGGTACAGGAGGCACGGGCTAGAGAAGGGATGGAGTGATGTGGTACAGGAGGCACGGGGCTAGAGAAGAGATGGAGTGACGTGGTACAGGAGGCACGGGCTAGTGAAGAGATGGAGTGATGTGGTACAGGAGGCACGGGGCTAGAGAAGAGATGGAGTGATGTGGTACAGGAGGCATGGGCTAGTGAAGAGATGGAGTGACGTGGTACAGGAGGCACGGGGCTAGAGAAGAGATGGAGTGATGTGGTACAGGAGGCACGGGGCTAGAGAAGAGATGGAGTGACGTGGTACAGGAGGCACGGGCTAGAGAAGAGATGGAGTGATGTGGTACAGGAGGCACGGGCTAGTGAAGAGATGGAGTGATGTGGTACAGGAGGCACGGGGCTAGAGAAGAGATGGAGTGATGTGGTACAGGAGGCACGTGGCTAGTGAAGAGATGGAGTGATGTGGTACAGGAGGCACGGGGCTAGATAAGAGATGGAGTGATGTGGTACAGGAGGCACGGTGCTAGATAAGAGATGGAGTGATGTGGTACAGGAGGCACGGGCTAGAGAAGAGATGGAGTAGATGCGGTACAGGAGGCACGGGGCTAGAGAAGAGATGGAGTAATGTGTTACAGGAGGCACGGGGCTAGAGAAGAGATGGAGTGACGTGGTACAGGAGGCACGGGGCTAGAGAAGAGATGGAGTGATGTGGTACAGGAGGCACGGGGCTAGAGAAGAGATGGAGTGATGTGGTACAGGAGGCACGGGGCTAGAGAAGAGATGAAGTGACGTGGTACAGGAGGCACGGGCTAGAGAAGAGATGGAGTGATGTGGTACAGGAGGCACGGGCTAGAGAAGAGATGGAGTGATGTGGTACAGGAGGCACGGGTCTAGATAAGAGATGGAGTGATGTGGTACAGGAGGCACGGGGCTATAGAAGAGATGGAGTGATGTGGTACAGGAGGCACGGGGCTAGAGAAGAGATGGAGTGATGTGGTACAGGAGGCACGGGGCTAGAGAAGAGATGGAGTGATGTGGTACAGGAGGCACGGGGCTAGAGAAGAGATGGAGTGATGTGGGACAGGAGGCACGTGGCTAGTGAAGAGATGGAGTGATGTGGTACAGGAGGCACGGGGCTAGGGAAGAGATGGAGTGATGTGGTACAGGAGGCACGGGGCTAGAGAAGAGATGGAGTGATGTGGTACAGGAGGCACGGGGCTAGAGAAGAGATGGAGTGATGTGGTACAGGAGGCACGGGGCTAGAGAAGAGATGGAGTGATGTGGTACAGGAGGCACGGGGCTAGAGAAGAGATGGAGTGATGTGGGACAGGAGGCACGTGGCTAGTGAAGAGATGGAGTGATGTGGTACAGGAGGCACGGGGCTAGGGAAGAGATGGAGTGATGTGGTACAGGAGGCACGGGGCTAGAGAAGAGATGGAGTGATGTGGTACAGGAGGCACGGGGCTAGAGAAGAGATGGAGTGATGTGGTACAGGAGGCACGGGGCTCGAGAAGAGATGGAGTGATGTGGTACAGGAGGCACGGGGCTAGAGAAGAGATGGAGTGATGTGGTACAGGAGGCACGGGCTAGAGAAGAGATGGAGTGATGTGGTACAGGAGGCATGGGCTAGAGAAGAGATGGAGTAGATAGGGTACAGGAGGCACGGGGCTAGAGAAGTGATGGAGTGATGCGGTACAGGAGGCACGGGGCTAGAGAAGAGATGGAGTGATGTGGTACAGGAGGCACGGGGCTAGAGAAGAGATGGAGTGAGGTGGTACAGGAGGCACGGGTCTGGATAAGAGATGGAGTGATGTGGTACAGGAGGCACGGGGCTAGATAAGAGATGGAGTGATGCGGTACAGGAGGCACGGGCTAGAGAAGAGATGGAGTAGATGGGGTACAGGAGGCACGGGGCTAGAGAAGAGATGGAGTGATGTGGTACAGGAGGCACGGGCTAGAGAAGTGATGGAGTGACGTGGTACAGGAGGCACGGGCTAGAGAAGAGATGGAGTGACGTGGTACAGGAGGCACGGGCTAGAGAAGAGATGGAGTGATGCGGTACAAAAGGACGTGGAGCTAGAGAAGAGATGGAGTGATGTGGTACAGGAGGCACGGGCTAGAGCAGAGATGGAGTGATGTGGTACGAAAGGACGTGGAGTTGAGTGAACTTGCCGATGACCGGTACCAGCGGTGTCAAGATCGGCCTCTGTGGAGGAGGCTCGTAAAATCAGCTGCTACCGAGCGGTTGGAAGCAGTCGCCCTCCAGCAACAGAGGGCGGGAGGAGCGACGCTCGCAACAACGAGCGATTTGGCAGAGTTGGGGGGCACAGGTGGTGCATCTGCCAGTCACCTGCCAGCCAACCCATGGCGCTTGGGTATTTATGCCGTGACCTCCTGGCAGTACCATCACGTGGCCTCGGAGTGCACCTGGCCGTGGTGACGTCACTGCCACTTAGCGCGCAAAATGGCGGCTGTAACGTTGCAGCGCCCCCCCGCCTATCACGGCAGCCTTAAAGGGGGGGGGGAAAGAACAGCGATCCGATCGCCAACCTCCCCTCTCCCCCGACACACACACACGAACAACTCTGCAAGTTTGCAGAGCGTTTCCGAGGTCGCGGGGCGAGGAGAAATCCCTCGATCCAAGTAACTTCACGGGGCTCAAGGTGTGACCCGGCTCTGGGCCATGCAGTGCCTCAATTATTGTAGGTGGTGGGCCACCCCTTCCGAGTGGTCGGCCGAGGTGCCACATGTTGAGGGTTGTACGAGGGGCGATCTGGAGTCTTGAGACCAGGAAAAGGGGCCGGGCAGAGATGATTCCCCCCCCCCTCCCAGCCCCGAGCAAACAGAGGGAGGGTTGGTGCCTGCGTGCAGACTTGCCCTATTGTGACATCACAACTATGAACAAAATAAGAACAGGGTTTTTTTTTCTTTCTCATATTCTCCGCGTCTTTCGGTAAAGTCACGGGGAGGTTGGTTAAAAAAATAAATCAACAAAGCACCACGGACGTTCCGGTTACAACGCAAGCGGGGGAGGTCTGTCTAGGTGGTGACTTTACCCGAAAGACCCAAAGAACATGAATCGCGGAAGATAAAAGTCGAGAAGGAATAAGTTTCACCCATTCTGACGATAAAACAGCTGCGCTCAGGTGTTCGAAACACCGAATGTAAATCTTTTGCAAGGAATAAAACGTCTGCGGTTAACCGTGCAAACAAAAGCGTGCTGATAACAGCTTTCGTGACTGCAAGGATTCATCTTCTTTGGTTCTTTCTTCACCTGATGAAGGCCGCTTGCGTTGTGGCCGAAACGTCGTGAGAATTTTGTTATTTTATTTTATCAATTTATTATTTTATTCTCATTCTACGTGGTGACTTTACCGAAAGAGCCAAAGAAGAATATCTGCGTCGTCTTCGAAGCCCATTTGGTCTACGCCAAGGGACAGCGGTCGGACCAGAGAACGCCAAAAAAGGCGACCAGTACAAAGGCAATGCACCATCAGGGCATTCAGAGCTCGGGGGTTGAGCGGCTACAGTCACGCGGAGCGTCCTCCAGACGACAAACTTGACACCGCTGGTTACCCGGTGGATCGGCAAGTCCACGCCCTCGGCTCCACGTCCTCCTGTTTGCCGCATCAGCTCCCATCTCTTCTCCGGGCCGCGTGTCGTGCCCGTTTAGCACCCACCCCCCCCCTGCCACTCCATCCGGTGGCTGGGCGTGCACGGCTGCTCACGTGAACCCAGCCAAACCTCAAGCCTCCTTGCCCAATGGAGGTGCTCCAACCGATGGGGGCTTTTAATGAAACCTTTCAAGGACCTGTGGGGCTCCTCACACTACGCAGCCGGGTTAAACCCCAGGATGGACCGAAGGCAGGGCCAGCCTTGAATGTTTTTAACCGGCCCAAATGTTCCTATATGGGGGAGGTCCACGTTTCGCAAGCATCGAGAAGGGAGGGCCTGACTCTGGCCGAGAAGACCGGAAGCTTCATGCGGAGCGCCCAGATCCACACGAAGCTTCCACGGGGCAGCGTTACGCAGCCGACAAACGCAAACGCCGCTCCCGCCCGCCTCAGGCCCCCCGCTATCCGGCCAAAGCAGAAGCTGGCCTCAAGGGGCAGCACGTGGGTTGCTACGCGACCCCGGACAACGCAGCCTCCTTGGCCTGCCGGGGGGAGCTCACCGACGATGGGAACTTCCGTGCCCAGAACTTCCAAGGACCTGCGAGCTCCTCGCGCAGTCCCCAAATCCAGCCTGGACGGATGACCCCCATGTATGCCGGGCCAGCCACGCACGCACGCACACACACACGCACACACACACGCACACACACACACACACACCACGCCCTACACACCACACGCCGTGCCCTCTCCACTGCTGGATGTAAGCAAGAGGTACCGAAGTCGCGGACAAAAACCAGCGGCAACGTTTATTTTGTATCACTTCACGGGTGACGAGCACACAACGGGCCACACGTTATGTGAGTGTGAATGTGTGCATGTCGCCGTGTGTGTAGCCACGTGTGTGTGTGTGTGTACCCACGTGTGTGTGTGTGTGCACCCACGTGTGTGTGTGTGTGCACCCACGTGTGTGTGTGTGTGTGCACCCACGTGTGTGTGTGTGTGTGCACCCACGTGTGTGTGTGTGTGTGCACCCACGTGTGTGTGTGTGTGCACCCACGTGTGTGTGTGTGTGCACCCACGTGTGTGTGTGTACCCACGTGTGTGTGTGTACCCACGTGTGTGTGTGCACCCACGTGTGTGTGTGCACCCACGTGTGTGTGTACCCACGTGTGTGTGTGTGTGCACCCACGTGTGTGTGTGTGCACCCACGTGTGTGTGTGTACCCACGTGTGTGTGTGTACACACGTGTGTGTGTGTGTACCCACGTGTGTGTGTGTACACACGTGTGTGTGTGTGTACCCACGTGTGTGTGTGTGTGTGTACCCACGCCACCCCCACTAGTCGCGTCTGAGTGCGTGCGTCTCCTCTCGCACGCCGTCACGCGTCACCACGCACACACGCAGCGCGTCGCCCGTGTGGATGTCGCGCTCGGCCGCCGACACAAAGACGTCGCGCACGAGCTGCACGGCGCGGTCCAGCGGCATGGCCAGACGCTCCTCGCCAGCGCCCAGCTGGTTCTTACGGCCAATCTGGGGGACGGGGTTGGTGGCGGTAGCAAGCAGAGGTGGTAGTCGTATGGGAGGTAGTAGTGGCAGAGGTAGTAGTGGCAGAGGTAGTAGTGGCAGAGGTAGTAGTGGCAGAGGTAGTAGTGGCAGAGGTAGTAGTGGCAGAGGTAGTGGTAGTAGAGGTAGTGGTAGCAGAGGTAGTGGTAGTAGCAGCAGAGGTAGTAGTAGCAGAGGTAGTGGTAGTAGAGGTAGTAGTAGCAGAGGTAGTGGTAGTAGCAGCAGAGGTAGTAGTAGCAGAGGTAGTAGTAGCAGAGGTAGTGGTAGTAGCAGCAGAGGTAGTAGTAGCAGAGGTAGTAGTAGTAGCAATAGCAGAGGAAGTAGTAGCAGAGGTAGTGGTAGTAGTAGTGACAGAGGTAGTAGTAGCAGAGATAGTAGTAGCAGAGGTAGTGGTAGTAGCAGCAGAGGTAGTAGTAGCAGAGGTAATGGCAGAGGTAGTAGTGGCAGAGGTAGTAGTAGTAGCAGCAGAGGTAGTAGTAGTAGCAATAGCAGAGGTAGTAGTAGTAGCAGCAGAGGTAGTAGTAGCAGAGGTAGTGGTAGTAGCAGCAGAGGTAGTAGTAGCAGCAATAGCAGAGGTAGTAGTAGTAGTAACAGAGGTAGTGGTAGTAGTAGTGACAGAGGTAGTAGTAGCAGAGATAGTAGTAGCAGAGGTAGTGGTAGTAGCAGCAGAGGTAGTAGTAGCAGCAATAGCAGAGGTAGTAGTAGTAGTAACAGAGGTAGTGGTAGTAGTAGTGACAGAGGTAGTAGTAGCAGCAGAGGTAGTAGTAGTAACAGAGGTAGTAGTAGTAGTAACAGAGGTAGTAGTAACAGAGGTAGTAGTGACAGAGGTAGTAGTAGCAGAGGTAGTGGTAGTAGCAGCAGAGGTAGTAGTAGCAGAGGTAGTGGTAGTAGCAGTAGCAGAGGTAGTAGTAGCAGAGGTAGTAGTAGTAGTAACAGAGGTAGTAGTAACAGAGGTAGTAGTGACAGAGGTAGTAGTAGCAGAGGTAGTGGTAGTAGCAGCAGAGGTAGTAGTAGCAGAGGTAGTGGTAGTAGCAGTAGCAGAGGTAGAAGTAGCAGAGGTAGTAGTAGTAGCAGTAGCAGAGGTAGTAGTAGTAACAGAGGTAGTAGTAACAGAGGTAGTAGAAGTGGCAGAGGTAGTAGTGACAGAGGTAGTAGTAGTAGTAACAGAGATAGTAGTAACAGAGGTAGTAGTAACAGAGGTAGTAGTAGTAGTAACAGAGGTAGTAGTAGCAGAGGTAGTAGTAGCAGAGATAGTAGTAACAGAGGTAGTAGTAACAGAGGTAGTAGTAGTAGCAGCAGAGGTAGTATTAGCAGAGGTAGTAGTAGCAGTAGCAGAGGTAGTAGCAGCAGAGGTAGTAGTAGTCAAGGTAGCAGCAGTAGTAGTAGTAACAGAGGTAGTAGTAGCAGAGGTAGTAGCAGCAGAGGTGGTAGTAGTAGTAGCAGAGGTAGTAGTAGTCAAGGTAGCAGCAGTAGTAGTAGCAGTAGTAGAGGTAGCAGTAGTCAAGGTAGCAGTAGTCAAGGTAGCAGCAGTAGTAGTAGCAGTAGTAGTAGCAGTAGTAGAGGTAGCAGTAGTCAAGGTAGCAGCAGTAGTAGCAGCAGAAGCAGAGAGAGACAGTTGCTATGGTTACTGAAAGGCAGCATGTTTGTTGATCCAAAAGTTGACTAATAAACACTTGCATTAATACAGTCATGTGTTTGTGTGAATCTGTGTGCACCAATGCGTATATGCGTGTATCTATGTGTGTGTGTGTACCTGTGTGTGTGTGTACCTGTGAACACGCTGCTGATGAGACTGGAGCGTGCCACTAAGAGGTGGGGCCTTACCATCAGCCCCACCAAAACTAAGCACCTGCCTGGGTATTTTGTACCATCGGACACTCCACCCCCACAACTCCCAATTGGTGATGGGGCAGTTGTGGAGAGAGTGGAGAGTTTCCCATACCTGGGCAGTGTGCTTATGACCGGCTCCAGTTTAACAGCAGAGGTCTCACTCCGAATCAATCGAGCGGCAATATCTTTTCATCGGTTGCGTAACGCTGTGTGGAAGCTACCTGGTCTGTCGCTCCGCACTAAGCTTCAGGTTTTCTCGGCCATGGTCATTCCCTCCCTTCTCTACGCTTGCGAAACGTGGACCCCCTAATGGAACATCTTCGCTGGTTAGAAACATTTAGGCAGGTCTGCCTACGATCCATCCTGGGTTTAACCAGGCTGGATTGTGTGAGCTCACAAATTTCGATTAAAATGTGTATGCTCTGACTTTAACATAGCTATTTCTGTGACCAGTTACAAGCTAATCACTCAGCTATTTCAATGCTAAATTCTATGCTAATTCCTTTGTCAAGGGGTGCCTCTGCGGATGTGTATGCTTTAACTTAGCTATTTCAATGCTAAATTCTATGCTAATTCCTTTGTCAAGGGGTGCCTCTGCGGATGTGTATGCTTTAACTTTAACATAGCCATTTCTGTGACCAGTCACAAGCTAATCACTCAGCCATTTCAATGCTAAATTAAATGCTAATTCCTTTGTCAAGGCGCTTTGTTTCTTCTCACACAGCTTAAAGGTCGCGATCTGAGCGTGGCTTTTTCACTCCAGCGCTGTCCTCCAGACAGTCTCGTCCCTTCACCTGATGAAGGCCGCTTGTGTTGTGGCCGAAACGTCGTGAGAATATTATTATTTTATTTTATCAATGTATTATTTTATTCTCATTCTACGTGACTTTACCAAAAGAACCAAAGAAGATGAGCTCACAAATCCTTGAAAGATCTGGGCACGGTCCCATCGGTGAGCTCCTCCGGCAGGCAAGTCTGCGTTGGCTGGGTCATGTAGCCCGCATGCCCAGCCACCGCATGCCCAAACAGCTTTTGTTCGGCCGGATCGAGGGGGCTAAACGGGCGCGGCATGGGCTAGAGAAGAGATGGAGTAAAGTGGTACAGGAGGACGTGGAGCTGAGTGGACTTGCCGATGACTGATACCAGCGGTGTCAAGATCGGCCTCTGTGGAGGAGGCTCGTGAAGGACGCTACTGGGCAGTTGGAGGCAGTCGCCCTCCAACAACAACGGAGGGCGGAGGAGCGACGCTCACAACAACGAGCGGAGCGTCGGGTGGCTAAAGCACAGCAGGTTGGCACAGTAGGGGGCACAGGTGGTGCACCAGCCAGTCATCTCAGTCAGTCGACCCGTGGCACCTGGGTCTGCCCCGTGACCTCCTGCCAGCGGGTGTTCGACGCTTCACGTGGCCTCAAGGTGCACATGGCCTGGCAAAAGCGTCGTGGTGACGTCACCCCCACTTAGTGGCGAATGGCGGTTGTTGTTGTGTGTGTGTACCCTGTGTGTGTGTACCTGTGTGTACCCTGTGTGCGTGTACCTGTGTGTGTGTGTGTGTGTACCCTGTGTGTGTGTACCCTGTGTGTGTCTGTACCCTGTGTGTGTACCCTGTGTGTGTGTGTACCCTGTGTGTGTGTACCCTGTGTGTACCTGTGTGTGTGTGTGTGTACCCTGTGTGTGTGTACCCTGTGTGTGTGTACCTTGTGTGTGTGTACCCTGTGTGTGTGTACCTTGTGTGTGTGTACCCTGTGTGTGTGTACCCTGTGTCTGTGTGTGTGTGTGCACCCTGTGTGTGTGTACACTGTGTGTGTGTACCCTGTGTGTGTACCCTGTGTGTGCGTACACTGTGTGTGTAACCTGTGTGTGTGTACCCTGTGTGTGTGTACCCTGTGTGTGTGTACCCTGTGTGTGTGTGTACCATGTGTGTATATGTGTACCCTGTGTGTGTGTACCCTGTGTGTGTGTACCCTGTGTGTGTGTGTTCTGTGTGCACCCTGTGTGTGTACCCTGTGTGTGTACCCTGTGTGTGTGTGTACCCTGTGTGTGTACCCTGTGTGTGTGTGTACCCTGTGTATGTGTGTACCCTGTGTGTGTGTGTACCCTGTGTGTGTACCCTGTGTGTGTGTGTACCATGTGTGTATATGTGTACCCTGTGTGTGTGTACCCTGTGTGTGTGTACCCTGTGTGTGTGTACCCTGTGTGTGTGTGTTCTGTGTGCACCCTGTGTGTGTACCCTATGTGTGTACCCTGTGTGTGTACCCTGTGTGTGTGTACCCTGTGTGTGTGTGTACCCTGTGTGTGTGTGTGTACCCTGTGTGTGTGTGTGTACCCTGTGTGTATACCCTGTGTGTGTGTACCCTGTGTGTGTGTACCCTGTGTGTGTGTGTACCCTGTGTGTGTGTGTACCCTGTGTCTGTGTGTGTGTGTACCCTGTGTGTGTGTGTGTGTACCCTGTGTGTGTGTGTGTACCCTGTGTCTGTGTGTGTGTACCCTGTGTCTGTGTGTGTGTGTGTACCCTGTGTGTGTGTGTGTACCCTGTGTGTGTACCACTCTCACCTGGTTATCCAGCAGTGGCTGCAGCATGGCGTTGGCAGAGCCCCCGGCGATGTAGGCGTTACTCTCATAAGAGCCCACGGGGTCGAAGCCATAGACCACCCCCTTCCCTACAGACACAAACATCCCCCAGGTAGCCTTCAACAGACTGTTAGGGCCAGGGGGGGTGGGTGTCCAGCAGCACCACGCCCGGCCGCCTTTGTCTCCCCGAGTGCTAGCGATGTTCACGCCGCTACGCCGCTACACCACCACCACCACCACCAACCGCTGCACCGGGCACCCATTTGAGGCCGAGTCGACCTAGGGGGAGGCCCAGGACCGGCTCAATTAATCGTCACCGGTGCTGCCACTTGACCGGGAACAGCGCTAACTGTTGCGCCACCGCTCCCCCCCCACACGCACACGCGCACACAGACAAAGGTCCCCCGGGTAGCCTCGAGCAGGCCCTAGGGGCAAGCTGCCGTTAGCGAGTAGCGGCAGCCGTGAAGCAGCACCACGCCCGGCCGCCTTTGTCTCCCCCAGTGCTAGCTATGTTCACCACGCACCGTTACACCGGGCGCTCATTTTAGGCCGAGTCTACCTAGGGGACGAGGCCCAGGACCGGTTCAGACAGATAATCGACGCCGACGTCGATGGCCGTGAGCGGGAATCGAACCCGGATCTCTGCTGGGTTCATAGGGCAGCGCGCTAACCGCTGCACCACCGCTCCCCACACATACAAAGACCCACCCCAACGTGTAGCCTTAACAGACTAGCCAAGGACAGTGCCAATATTATTATCCTGAGTTGTCTCCTTTTGTTTGCATTTTGACTGCTTGTGTTGTGGTTATTGCAAACATGATGCCTTGAATAAAGGTGTCAGATAAAATGGTAAAAACCTATTGCTAGTGTAGTGTAGTCTAATAGTTTATAGGTAGTTGAGTGTAGTGTAGTCTAATAGTTTATAGGTAGTTGAGTGTAGTATAGTCTAATAGGTTATAGGTAGTTGAGTGTAGTGTAGTCTAATAGTTTATAGGTAGTTGAGTGCAGTGTAGTGTAATAGTTTATAGCTAGTTGAGTGTAGTGTAGTCTAATAGTATATAGGTAGTTGAGTGTAGTGTAGTCTAATAGTTTATAGGTAGTTGAGTGTAGTGTAGTCTAATAGTTTATAGGAAGTTGAGTGTAGTGTAGTGTAATAGTTTATAGGTAGTTGAGTGTAGTCTAATAGTTTATAGCTAGTTGAGTGTAGTGTAGTCTAATAGTGTATAGGTAGTTGAGTGTAGTGTAATAGTTTATAGGTAGTTGAGTGTAGTGTAGTCTAATAGTTTATAGCTAGTTGAGTGTAGTCTAATAGTTTAAAGCTAGTTGAGTGTAGTGTAGTCTAATAGTTTATAGGTAGTTGAGTGTAGTGTAATAGTTTATAGGTAGTTGAGTGTAGTGTAGTCTAATAGTTTACAGGTAGTTGAGTGTAGTGTAATAGTTTATAGGTAGTTGAGTGTAGTGTAGTCTAATAGTTTATAGGTAGTTGAGTGTAGTGTAGTGTAATAGTTTATAGGTAGTTGAGTGTAGTGTAGTGTAATAGTTTATAGGTAGTTGAGTGTAGTGTAGTCTAATAGTTTATAGCTAGTTGAGTGTAGTGTAGTCTAATAGTTTATAGGTAGTTGAGTGTAGTGTAATAGTTTATAGGTAGTTGAGTGTAGTGTAGTGTAATAGTTTATAGGTAGTTGAGTGTAGTGTAGTGTAATAGTTTATAGGTAGTTGAGTGTAGTGTAGTCTAATAGTTTATAGCTAGTTGAGTTTAGTGTAGTCTAATAGTTTATAGCTAGTTGAGTGTAGTGTAGTCTAAAAGTATATAGGTAGTTGAGTGTAGTGTAGTCTAATAGTTTATAGCTAGTTGAGTGTAGTGTAGTCTAATAGTTTATAGGTAGTTGAGTGTAGTGTAGTCTAATAGTTTATAGGTAGTTGAGTGTAGTGTAGTCTAATAGTTTATAGGTAGTTGAGTGTAGTGTAGTCTAATAGTTTATAGGTAGTTGAGTGTAGTGTAGTCTAATAGTTTATAGGTAGTTGAGTGTAGTGTAGTCTAATAGTGTATAGGTAGTTGAGTGTAGTGTAGTCTAATAGTTTATAGCTAGTTGAGTGTAGTGTAGTCTAATAGTTTATAGGTAGTTGAGTGTAGTGTAGTGTAATAGTTTATAGGTAGTTGAGTGTAGTGTAGTCTAATAGTTTATAGGTAGTTGTGTGTAGTGTAGTGTAATAGTTTATAGGTAGTTGAGTGTAGTGTAGTGTAATAGTTTATAGGTAGTTGTGTGTAGTGTAGTCTAATAGTTTATAGGTAGTTGAGTGTAGTGTAGTCTAATAGTTTATAGGTAGTTGAGTGTAGTGTAGTCTAATAGTTTATAGGTAGTTGAGTGTAGGTAGTCGAGTGTAGTATAGGTAGTTGTGTGTAGTATAGGTAGTTGTGTGTAGTATAGGTAGTTGAGTGTAGTATAGGTAGTTGTGTGTAGTATAGGTAGTTGTGTGTAGTATAGGTAGTTGAGTGTAGTATAGGTAGTTGTGTGTAGTATAGGTAGTTGTGTGTAGTATAGGTAGTTGAGTGTAGTATAGGTAGTTGCGTGTAGTATAGGTAGTCGAGTGTAGTATAGGTAGTTGTGTGTAGTATAGGTAGTTGTGTGTAGTATAGGTAGTTGAGTGTAGTATAGGTAGTTGAGTGTAGTATAGGTAGTTGTGTGTAGTATAGGTAGTTGAGTGTAGTATAGGTAGTTGCGTGTAGTATAGGTAGTTGTGTGTAGTATAGGTAGTTGAGTGTAGTGTAGGTAGTTGCGTGTAGTGTAGTCTCATAGTTAGGATGGTGCAGGGAAAGTGACCGTTGTCATCAAGGCCGCCCACGATGTTGTAGACGTAGTAGGGGAAGAAACGGCGCTGGTACAGGATGGTGGAGAGCATCGCAGCCAACGCACCCGTGCCCATGGGCTTGTTGTACGTGTGCTGGTACATCTGGGTGGGGCACACACACACACACACGGAGAGATGTGAGTGTGTGTGAGTGTGTGTGAGTGTGTGTGCTGGTACATCTGGGTGGGGCACACACACACACACAGGGAGATGTGAGTGTGTGTGAGTGTGTGAGTGTGTGTGAGTGTGTGTGAGTGTGTGAGTGTGTGTGCTGGTACATCTGGGTGGGGCACACACACACAGGGAGATGTGAGTGTGTGTGTGTGAGTGTGTGAGTGTGTGTGAGAGTGTGTGAGTGTGTGTGAGTGTGTGTGCTGGTACATCTGAGTGGTGCACACACACACACAGGGAGATGTGAGTGTGTGTGAGTGTGTGAGAGAGTGTGTGAGAGAGTGTGTGAGAGTGTGTGAGTGAATGTGAGTGTGTGAGTGTGTGTGCTGGTACATCTGGGTGGGCCACACACACACACACAGGGAGATGTGTGTGTGTGTGAGTGTGTGTGAGTGTGTGTGTGTGTGCTGGTACATCTGGGTGGTGCACACACACACAGAGATGTGAGTGTGTGTGTGAGTGTGTGTGTGAGTGTGTGTGAGTATGTGAGTGTGTGTGTGAGTGTGTGTGTGAGTGTGTGTGTGTGCTGGTACGTCTGGGTGGGGCACACACACACACAGGGAGATGTGTGTGTGAGTGTGTGTGAGTGTGTGTGTGCTGGTACATCTAGGTGGGGCACACACACACACACAGGGAGATGTGAGTGTGTGTGAGTGTGTGTGAGTGTGTGTGAGTGTGTGCTGGTACATCTGGGTGGGGCACACACACACAGGGAGATGTGAGTGTGTGTGAGTGTGTGTGAGTGTGTGTGTGAGTGTGTGTGAGTGTGTGTGTGAGTGTGTGTGAGTGTGTGTGAGTGTGTGTGTGTGCTGGTACATCTGGGTGGTGCACACACACACACGGAGAGATGTGAGTGTGTGTGAGTGTGTGTGTGAGTGTGTGTGAGTGTGTGTGTGAGTGTGTGTGAGTGTGTGTGTGAGTGTGTGTGAGTGTGTGTGAGTGTGTGTGAGTGTGTGTGTGTGCTGGTACATCTGGGTGGGGCACACACACACAGGGAGATGTGAGTGTGTGTGAGTGTGTGTGTGAGTGTGTGTGTGCTGGTACATCTGGGTGGGCCACACACACACACAGGGAGATGTGTGTGTGTGTGAGTGTGTGTGTGTGCTGGTACGTCTGGGTGGGGCACACACACACACAGGGAGATGTGAGTGTGTGTGAGTGTGTGTGTGTGTGCTGGTACATCTAGGTGGGCCACACACACACAGGGAGATGTGTGTGTGTGTGAGTGTGTGTGAGTGTGTGTGAGTGTGTGTGTGTGCTGGTACATCTGGGTGGGGCACACACACACACAGGGAGATGTGAGTGTGTGTCAGTGTGTGTGAGTGTGTGTGAGTGTGTGTGAGTGAGTGTGTGTGTGTGAGTGTGTGTGGTGTGTGAGTGTGTGCGAGTGTGTGTGAGTGTGTGTGTGAATGTGTGAGTGTGTGTGCTGGTACATCTGGGTGGGTCACACACACACACAGGGGAGTGTGTGTGTGAGTGTGTGTGAGTGTGTGTGTGTGCTGGTACGTCTGGGTGGGGCACACACACACAGAGATGTGAGTGTGTGTGAGAGTGTGTGAGAGTGTGTGAGTGTGTGTGAGTGTGTGTGCTGGTACAGTCCGGCAAAACAACCCCCTACCTCCTCGCGGTGCCGGACGGGCAACTCTGTCGTGGACAGCGCTGTGGGGGGAGATCCAATTTTGATTGGCTCCTCCCCTCATGGCATATGTGTCCACCACAGGGGCTAAACGGGGGCTCTGGACGGGTGAGAGGGGCTGGTAACCCCTTCACCTTCAATTAATTACCACGAAACCACGAATTAAACTGAAATATGTAACAAATAAGCTTGTGCCGGAGGCCCCGGGGGGCCAGGCGTCTATGACATCTCCTGGCCAAACCCCAATTGGCGGAGCCAGGAGATTGAATACCTACCCTCGGGGCTACTCCAGAAACAACGAAAAGCCACTACGGGTGGCCACGTGGAATGTTCGAACGCTCACTGCAGAGGAGAGGCTGCCACTCCTCTGTCGGGAGCTGGACCGTTACCGCCTGGATCTATGCGGCATTCAGGAGGTCCGGTGGACCGGCTCTGGCTCCTGCCACCATGAGGGGTGGACAGTCCTCTACTCGGGGCAGCAGACTGCCAAACAACAGGGTGTGGGTCTTCTTTTGAACAAAAGAATGAAGGGGGCGTGGGAGCGTGGCGGTGAGGTGTGGGAAGCTGTAAGCCCCAGGCTACTTTGGGCTCGCCTTCCCATCAACCGGAGGCGAGGAATGGTGGTCGTGGTTACTTATGCCCCCACCGAAGATGAACATCCGTGGAGGGATGCAGGCAAAGCCGATGAGTCAGATGCCTTCGATGACCTCCTGTCACAGGTGCTGGCTAAAGTGGCCCCTCGGGATAGAGTCATCATGTTGGGTGACTTGAATGCCCGAGTTGGTCATGATACTGGCACCTGGTCTGGAGTGATTGGAGGGCATGGGCCAGATCAGCTCAATAACAACGGTAGGAGGCTGCTAGATTTTTGTGCAGCCCATGGGCTTGTAATTACCAACACGCTGTTCCGGCATCGGCGCATCCACACAACATCATGGATGCATGCCGGGTCCAAGCAAGAACATCTGCTGGACTACATAGTGACGGACCAGCGAATGCGAGCCCATGTCCTTGACACCAGGACCTACCGTGGAGCTGATCTGCCCTCTGACCATCGACTAGTCATCTGTAAGATGCGCCTGCCATTCTTCCACTCCGGTGGTGGGTGTACACCCAGGACCCCATTCCAACATAAAGTGGCCTGGTCTCAGTTATCTGATGAAAGTTGCAAGCGAGAATTTCATCATCGCTTGCGGCTGGGATTGGCATCGTCCCCGACTCCTCCTGATGTCGAGGGTAAATGGGCGAGGTTTAGGACTGTGACTCATGCAGCTGCAATGGCTGCTTTGGGTACGCGGTCCAGACCTCCCCAGAGACCCTGGCTGACAGAGGAGGTGTTCAGGATGGTTGAGAAAAAGCGACAGGCCCACTGTCATCGGCTACAGAATCCCACGTCAGAGAATGAGGAGGCTTACCGCAGCCTTCGCTCGGAGGTTCGGAGAGCCGTGAGGCGCTGCAAGGATGGGTGGTGGTCTCGGGTTGCTGAGGAGATGGAGTCTGCCTCAGTGGCCCGTGATCACAAATCTCTATTTAACTCCATCAAAAAAGTAACCTGCAGCGCCACACCTATTACCATCATTAGGGGAAAAAACGGTGATCCAATCTCCGACCCCCAGGAACAGGTTCGCAGATTTGCTGAGCATTTCTGTGAGGTCCTGGGGGAGGGAAAATCCCTCAGCCAGGAAAACATCGTGGCACAAAGTGAGGATGACCCTGCTGAGGCTGCGGTGCCTCAAATATTGGAAGAAGTCACCCCCTGTGAGTGGCTGGCTGAGGTGCCATCTGCTGAGGAAGTATTGAAGGCGATCCGGAGTCTGAGACCAGGAAAGGCAGCGGGCAGAGATGATCTCCCAAGCGAAATGCTGAGGGAGGGTGGCGTTTGTGCACAGACTGCCCTATATGACATCATAACAACAGTCTGGACCACTGGACGGGTTCCGCAGGATTGGAAGGATGCCCTGGTGGTCCCCCTTTTTAAGAAGGGGGACCGCACAGACTGTAACAACTACAGGGGCATCTCACTCCTCAGTGTGCCGGGAAAGGTCCTGGCAAGGATTATTCAGCATCGCCTTGCCAGGCACGCTGAGGAGAGGCTTGCGGAGCCCCAATGTGGTTTCAGGAAAGGGCGGTCCTGCACAGATGCCATATTTTCTGTCCGTCTGCTACAGCAGAGGTGTAGGGAATTCCAACAAGACCTACATCTCTGCTTTATTGACCTGGTCAAGGCCTATGATACCATCAGTAGGCCTGGGCTCTGGGTCATTCTTCGTGCTTTTGGAGTACCTGACCCTCTGCTCACGATCATTAAGGACCTTCATGATGGTGAGCGGGCCCGGGTAAAACTACGTGGCCGGGAGTCAGAGCCATTCCCTGTACACCTTGGGGTGCGACAGGGATGTCCTCTGGCTCCCACATTATTTAACATCTATTTTGACCACGTAGTTCGTGAAGCCTTCAATAGCTGTACCGGGGGAATCTCCATATGGTACAGATATAATGGGAGGCTAATCGATGCCCGGGTGCGGTCAAGGGATGGCTCCCTATTGCTCAACCACGTTATGTATGCTGATGACTTGGTAATAGCTGCTCAGTCAGAGGAGGAGTTGGAGACGCTGCTGCTGAGACTGGAGCGTGCCACTAAGAGGTGGGGCCTTACCATCAGCCCCACCAAAACTAAGCACCTGCCTGGGTATTTTGTACCATCGGACACTCCACCCCCACAACTCCCAATCGGTGATGGGGCAGTTGTGGAGAGAGTGGAGAGTTTCCCATACCTGGGCAGTGTGCTTATGACTGGCTCCAGTTTAACAGCAGAGGTCTCACTCCGAATCAGTCGAGCGGCAATATCTTTTCATCGGTTGCGTAACGCTGTGTGGAAGCTACCTGGTCTGTCGCTCCGCACTAAGCTTCAGGTCTTCTCGGCCACGGTCATTCCCTCCCTTCTCTACGCTTGCGAAACGTAGACCCCCCTAATGGAACATCTTCGCCGGTTAGAAACATTTAGGCTGGCCTGCCTACGATCCATCCTGGGTTTAACCAGACTGGATTGTGTGAGGAGCTCACAAATCCTTGAAAGATCTGGGCAGGGTCCCATCGGTGAGCTCCTCCGGCAGGCAAGGCTGCGATGGCTGGGTCATGTAGCCCGCATGCCCAGCCACCGCATGCCGAAACAGCTTTTGTTTGGCCGGATTGAGGGGGCTAAGCGGGCGCGGCACGGGCTAGAGAAGAGATGGAGTGATGTGGTACAGGAGGACGTGGAGCTGAGTGGACTTGCCGATGACTGGTACCAGCGGTGTCAAGATCGGCCTCTGTGGAGGAGGCTCGTGAAGGATGCTACTGGGCAGTTGGAGGCAGTCGCCCTCCAACAACAACGGAGGGCGGAGGAGCGACGCTCACAACAGCGAGCGGAGCGCCGGGTGGCTAAAGCACAGCAGGTTGGCACAGTAGGGGGCACAGGTGGTGCATCAGCCAGTCATCTCAGTCAGTCGACCCGTGGCACCTGGGTCTGCCCCGTGACCTCCTGCCAGCGGGCGTTCGACACTTCACGTGGCCTCAGGGTGCACATAGCCTGGCACAAGCGTCGTGGTGACGTCACCGCCACTTAGTGGCGAATGGCGGTTGTTGTTGTTGTTGTGTGTGAGTGTGTGTGAGTGTGTGTGAGTGTGAGTGTGTGAGTGTGTGTGGTGTGTGAGTGTGTGCGAGTGTTTGTGAGTGTGTGTGTGAATGTGTGAGTGTGTGTGCTGGTACATCTGGGTGGGCCACACACACACACACAGGGAGATGTGAGTGTGTGAGTGTGTGTGCTGGTACATCTGGGTGGTGCACACACACACACAGATGTGAGTGTGAGAGTGTGTGAGGGTGTGTGAGTGTGTGTGAGTGTGTGTGCTGGTACATCTGAGTGGTACACACACACACAGGGAGATGTGAGTGTGTGTGTGTGAGTGTGTGCGAGAGTGTGTGAGAGTGTGTGAGTGAATGTGAGTGTGTGAGTGTGTGTGCTGGTACATCTGGGTGGTGCACACACACACACACACGGAGAGATGTGTGTGTGAGTGTGTGTGAGTGTGTGATTGTGTGTGTGTGCTGGTACATCTGGGTGGGGCACACATACGCACACAGAGATGTGAGAGTGTGTGAGTGTGTGTGAGTGTGTGTGGGTGTATGCGAGTGTGTGTGAGTGTGTGTGAGAGTGTGTAAGTGTGTGGGAGTGTGTGAATGTGAGTGTGTGAGTGTATGTGAGTGTGTGTGCTGGTACATCTGGGTGGGGCACAGAAACACACATGGAGATGTGTGTGTGAGTGTGTGAGTGTATGTGTGTGTGAGTGTGTGTATGTGAGTATGTTTGAGTGCCTCAGTGTGTGTGTGAGTGTGTGTGCTGGTACATCTGGGTGGGACACATACAGAAATGTGAGTGTGTGCGACAGGGATGTCCTCTGGCTCCCACATTATTTAACACATATTTTGACCACGTAGTTCGTGAAGCCTTCAATGGCTGTACCGGAGGAATTTCCATTTGGTACAGATATAATGGGAGGCTGATCGATGCCCGGGTGCGGTCAAGTGATGGCTCCCTATTGCTCAACTAAGTTACGTATGGCGATTATCTGGCAATTGCTGCTCAGAGGAGTTGGAGGCGCTGCTGCTGAACCTGGAGCGTGCTACTAAGAGGTGAGGCCTTACCATCAGCCCCACCAAAACTAAGCACCTGCCAGGGTATTTTGTACCATCGGACACTCCATCCCCACAACTCCCAATCGGTGATGGGGCAGTTGTGGAGAGAGTGAAGAGTTTCCCATACCTGGGCAGTGTGCTCATGACCGGCTCCGGCTTGACAGCGCCTGTGCCATAGCAGGTGCACTTTGAGGCCACGCAAAGTGTCGAAGGCTCACTGACAGGAGGTCTCGGGAAAGACCCAGCAAGTGCCATGGGTTGGCTGACTGAGATGACCGGCAGATGCACCACCAGCTGTACCCCCTACAGTGCGTAACGCTGTGTGGAAGCTACCTGGTCTGTCGCTCCGCACGAAGTTTCGGGTCTTCTCGGCCAAAGTCATGCCCTCCCTTCTCTACGCTTGCGAAACGTGGACCCCCCTAATGGAACATCTTCGCCGGTTAGAAACATTTAGGCTGGCCTGCCCACGATTCATCCTGGGTTTAACCAGGCTGGATTGTGTGAGGAGCTCACAAATCCTTAAAAGATCCGGCAGGCAAGGCTGCGTTGGCTGGGCATATGTAGCCCGCATGCCCAGCCACCGCATGCCGAAACAGCTTTTGTTCGGCCGGATCGAGGGGGCTAAATGGGCGCGGCACGGGCTAGAGAAGAGATGGAGCGATGTGGTACAGGAGGACGTGGAGCTGAGTGGACTTACCGATGACTGGTACCAGCGGTGTCAAGATCGGCCCCTGTGGAGGAGGCTCGTGAAGGATGCTACTGGGCAGTTAGAGGTAGTCGCCCTCCAACAACAACGGAGGGCGGAGGAGCGACGCTCAGAACAACGAGCGGAGCGCTGGGTGGCTGAAGCACAGCAGGTTGGCACAGTAGGGGGCACAGGTGGTGCATCAGCCAGTCATCTCAGTCAGTCGACCCGTGGCACCTGGGTCTGCCCCGTGACCTCCTGCCCGCGGGCGGTCGACACTTCACGTGGCCTCAGGGTGCACATAGCCTGGCACAAGCATCGTGGTGACGTCACCGCCACCTAGTGGCGAATGGCGGTTGTTGTTGTTGTGTGAGAGTGAGTGTGTGAGTGAGTGTGAGTGAGTGTGAACACGTGTGAGAGTGAGTGTGATGAGTGTGAACACGTGAGGGAGTGAGTGTCACCTTGCGCCTCGCTTCTATGATCTTGGTGAGGGTGAGGCAGTCGCCATGGAAACCGCAGCATCCAAGCACCGTGCGGTCAGAGCTGCAAACACGTACACACACACAGTGTACACACACACAGTGTACACACACACACACAGTGTACACACACGTACACACACACGTACACACACACACAGTGTACACACACACACAGTGTACACACACACACACGTACACACACACACACAGTGTACACACACACACAGTGTACACACACACACACACGTACACACACACACGTACACACACACGTACACACACACACAGTGTACACACACACACACGTACACACACACACACGTACACACGCACACACGCACACACGTACACACGCACACACGCACACACACGTACACACACGTACACACACACGTACACACAGTGTACACACACACAGACACACGTACACACACATACACACACACAGTGTACACACACACACACAGACACACGTACACACACACGTACACACACACACACACGTACACGCACACACGTACACGCACACGTACACACACGAACACACATGTACACACACACACGTACACACACATACACACACAAAGACAAAGGTCTCCCATGTAGCCCACACGGACTGATGTGGCCAAGGGCAGTCTGCGAGCGCCTATTAATGCCGTGTGTGTCTGTGTGTCCCTACGTGTCTCTGTGTGTCTATGTGTCTCTTTATAGTTGCGTGTGTCTCTGTGTATGTATCTCTGTGTGTATCTCTCTCCATATCTGTGTGTATCTCTACGTGTTGTGGGGAGCGGTGGTGTAGCGGTTAGCGCTACGCTGCGCTATGAACCTGGCGATCCGGGTTCGATTCCCGCTCACGGCCAACACCGGTGACGATTATCTGAACCGGTCCCGGGCCTCCCCTAGGTCGACTCAGCCTCAAATGAGTTAACCTGGTGCGGTGTGTAGTAGACATCACCACCGGGGAGACAAAGGCGGTCGGGCGTGGTGCTGGCCACCCACCCCCTCGTGTGCCGTTACCGGCCTTCATAGGCGCTGCTCGCTAGCAGCACTTGCCCCTGCAGTCTGTTACAGGCTACACGGGGGATCTTTGTCTGTGTGTGGTGTGCAGGCCACTCACAGCGCGTGGACCTTGGGGCTGTTTCGAGTGTGGATGGAAAAATGCTCGCTCAGCCGCGTGTCCGAAGCCAGCAGTGCATAATCCTCGCCGGCTATCGCCAGGATGGTTCTGTGCACACATACACACGCACAAGGCAAATCTTTAGATACACACACAACAACAACCGCCATTCGCCACTAAGTGGCGGTGACGTCACCACGACGCTTGTGCCAGGCCATGTGCACCCTGAGGCCACGTGAAGTGTCGAACGCCCGCTGGCAGGAGGTCACGGGGCAGACCCAGGTGCCACGGGTCGACTGACTGAGATGAATGGCTGATGCACCACCTGTGCCCCCTACTGTGCCAACTTGCTGTGCTTTAGTCACCCGGCGCTCCGCTCGTTGTTGTGAGCGTCGCTCCTCCGCCCTCCGTTGTTGTTGGAGGGCGACTGCCTCCAACTGCCCAGTAGCGTCCTTCACGAACCACAGCATGCGGTGGCTGGGCATGCGGGCTATATGACCCAGCCATCGCAGCCTTGCCTGCCGGAGGAGCTCACCGATGGGACCCTGCCCAGATCTTTCAAGGATTTGTGAGCTCCTCCTGGGTTGGCTGGCAGGTGACTGGCAGATGCACCACCTGTGCCCCCCAACTGTGCCAAATCGCTCGTTGTGAGCGTCGCTCCTCCCGCCCTCTGTTGCTGGAGGGCGACTGCCTCCAACCGCTCGGTAGCAGCTTATTTTACGAGCCTCCTCCACAGAGGCCGATCTTGACACCGCTGGTACCAGTCATCGGCAAATTCACTCAGCTCCACGTCCTCCTGTACCACATCACTCCATCTCTTCTCTAGCCCGTGCCGCGTCCGTTTAGCCCCCTCGATCCGGCCGAACAAAAGCTGTTTCGGCATGCGGTGGCTGGGCATGCGGGCTACATGACCCAGCCAACGCAGCCTTGCCTGCCGGAGGAGCTCACCGATGGGACTGAGTGAGTCTGTGACTGAGTGAGTCTGTGAATGAGTGAGTTTGTGATTGAGTCTGTGAGTGATTGAGTCTGTGAGGCTGTGAATTACTGTGTGAATGAGTAGGTCTGTGAGTGAGTCTGTGAATGAGTGACTCTGTGAGTGAGTATGAGTGATGGAGTGAGTCTGTAAGTGATTGAGCGAGTCTGTGAGGCTGTGAATTACCGTGTGAATGAGTAGGTCTGTGAGTAAGTCTGTGAGTGACTCTGTGAGTGATTGAGTGAGTCTGTGAGTGAGTCTGTGAGTGACCGAGTGAGTCTATGACTCAGTGAGTCTGTGACTTAGTGCGTCTGTGAGTGAGTCTATGACTACGTGCGTCTTTGAGTGAGTTAGTCTGTGAGTGACTGAGTGAGTCTGTGACTCAGTGAGTCTGTGACTGAGTGCGTCTGTGATTCTGTGACTAAGTGCGTCAGTGAGTGAGTCTGTGACTGAGTGAGTCTGTGAGTGACTGAGTGAGTCTGTGACTCAGTGAGTCTGTGACTCAGTGAGTCTGTGACTGAGTGCGTCTGTGAGTCTGTGACTAAGTGCGTCAGTGAGTGAGGGAGTCTGTGACTGAGTGAGTCTGTGAGTGATTGGGTGAGTCTGTGAGTGATTGAGTGAGTCTGTGAGGCTGTGGATGACTGTGTGAATGAGTAGGTCTGTGAGTGAGTCTATAAGTCAGTCTGCGAGTGAGTCTATGACTGAGTCTGTGAGTGACTGAGTCTGTGGCTGAGTATGTGACTGTGTGAGTAACTGAGTGAGTCTGTGAGTGACTAAGTGAGTGAGTTTGTGAGTGACTAAGTGACGGTGTCTGTGAGTGACTGAGTGAATCTGTGAGTGAGGGAGTCTATGACTGAGTCTGTGAGTGACTGAGTTAGTCTGTGGCCGAGTCTGTGAGTAACTGTGTGACTAAAGTCTGTGGCTAGGTATGTGAGTGACTGAGTGAGTTTGTGAGTGATCGAGTGACTGAGTGACTGAGTGAGCGAGTGACTGAGTGAGTGACTGAGTAAGTGACTGAGTGAGTGACTGAGTGAGTGACTGAGTAATTGAGTTAGTAACTGAGTAGCTGAGCCAGTGACTGAGTGAGCGAGTGACTGAGTGAGTAACCGAGTGAGTAACTGAATGAGTAACTGAGTGAGTGACTGAGTTAGTGACTGAGTGAGTGACTGAGTGAGTAACTGAGTGAGTAACTGAGTGAGTAACTGAGTGAGTAACCGAGTCTGTGACTGAGTGAGCGACTGAGTGAGTGACTGAGTGATTGACTGAGTGAGTGACTGAGTGACTGAGTGAGTAACCGAGTGAGTAACTGAATTAGTAACTGAGTGAGTGACTGAGTTAGTGACCGAGTGACTGAGTAACTGAGTGAGTAACTGAGTGAGTAACCGAGTCTGTGACTGAGTGAGCGACTGAGTGACTGAGTGAGTGACTGAGTGATTGACTGAGTGAGTGACTGAGTAACTGACTGAGTGACTGAGTAACTTAATGAGTGACTGAGTGAGTGACTGAGTAACTGACTGAGTGAGTGACTGAGTAACTTAGTGAGTAACTGAGTGAGTGACTGAGTGAGTGACTGAGTGAGTGACTGAGTAACTGACTGAGTGAGTGACTGAGTAACTTAATGAGTGACTGAGTGAGTGACTGAGTGAGTAACTTAATGACTGAGTGAGTGACTGAGTAACTTAATGACTGAGTGAGTGACTGAGTGAGTGACTGAGTAACTGACTGAGTGAGTGACTGAGTAACTGACTGAGTGAGTGACTGAGTAACTGAGTAACTTAATGAGTGACTGAGTGAGTGACTGAGTGAGTAACTTAATGACTGAGTGAGTGAGTGACTGAGGCCTGGTTGTTCAGGCAAGGCGCCCTCACCCTCCGTTAAAGGCGTAAGGCGAGAACCGCGCCTGCACTGGGCCCGAACTCAGACCCCACTCGCCGACGAGCCCCGACTCGGGCTGCTGCTGCTGCATCATCATCATCTCCTCGTCGCTAATTAATCAAATTTAATTAACCGAGAGGTCCAATTCAGCGCCGAGATTTGAACTCAGCGGACGGCCGGCAGTGAATTTGCAAATTAAGGCTCGGAGCTGGGACGATTCCAGAATCGGTAGCAATCGATTCAGCGAACCGGGTAAATCGAACATCACGCGTTGGGATTGAACGGAGGCGGAATCGAATTTTGAACATCCGTACATCGATTCCCAACGCGTTCACGCGGTATGGAAAATCGAGGGTTTGGGTACTCGAGCGCAATCGATTCGACAGCGTGAAGATTAAATGGAGAATCGATTTGAATGTAGTTGGATCAAAATAAGGAATCGGTATAAACAGATTTCTCCCGTTCAGTTTAAACATGAGAGAATCGATTTGATTATTGATGCAAACCGATTCCTCTCGTTCAGTTTCAAGGAAGAGAATCGATTACGAGACTCGGTGTCACACGATTCGTCACGTTCCGTTACAAAGAAATGGATTCTACTGTGAGAATCGATATATTTTAGATTCCTCACGTTCAGTTACAATGGGAGACAATCGACTGGGAGAATCGTTGCCAATGAATGAATGAACGTTCAGATTAATAAAGCGGAGATCGATTTTGAATCTATCTCGATGTGTCTTCCAAGTTTGAATGCAATAATATAAAAATCGATTTGCTGATCGATTTGCAAACAGATTTCTCGCGTTCAGAGTTTACATAAAGAAGAGGGGAATCGAACGTCCTAGCGAATCGAAATCGATCATTATCTCTCCATAGCCGGTCGATTGACTCCATTTGGGAAACCGAGACGACAGATGACGTCATCTTGACCGTTGACGTCACGATCACAACCGCGCAGGCGAAACGTCATCCTGACCGTGACGCCACGCAGCGGTCACAACCGCTGGAGAGTCGATGACGTCACTGAGAACGTTCTCCTGTCTCCCGTATGCGTGTGACGTCACGCCCCACGGTCGCTCGAAACTGTACCGGTGACGTCCCGCGCCGATGACGACGTGACGTCACCGGCTTGAGCGCCACAGCGGGGTGAGTGTACAGTGCTGGTGCTGAGTTTTAGCTGCGCGGATCGCGATGATGGGTCCGGTGGAGACGGTTACACGGCTGTTTGTACACGGGAGGTGTGTGTGGTGAGTCAGTGTGTGTGGTGAGTGTGTGTGGTGAGTCTGTGTGGTGGTGAGTCTGTGTGTGGTGAGTCAGTGTGTGGTGGTGAGTCTGTGTGGTGAGTCTGTGTGGTGAGTGTGTGTGTCTCTGTGTGGTGAGTCTCTGTGTGGTGAGTCAGTGTGGTGAGTGTGTGTGGTGAGTCAGTGTGGTGGTGAGTGTGTGGGGTGAGTCTGTGTGGTGGTGAGTCTGTGTGGTGAGTCTGTGTGGTGAGTGTATGGTGAGTCTCTGTGTGGTGAGTGTGTGTGGTGAGTGTGTGTGGTGAGTGTATGTGGTGAGTCTGTGTGGTGAGTCTGTGTGGTGAGTCTGTGTGGTGAGTGTGTGTGGTGAGTGTGTGTGGTGAGTCTGTGTGTCTCTGTGTGGTGAGTCTGTGTGGTGAGTCTGTGTGGTGAGTCTGTGTGGTGAGTCTGTGTGGTGAGTCTGTGTGTCTCTGCGTGAGTCTGTGTGGTGAGTCTGTTGGTGAGTCTGTGAGTCTCTGTGTGAGTCTGTGTGGTGTCTCTGCGTGTCTCTGCATGAGTCTGCGTGTCTCTGTGTGTCTCTTTGTGTCTCTGCGTGAGTCTGAGTGTCTCTGCGTGTCTCTGTGTGGTGTCTCTGTGTGTCTCTGTGTGTCTCTGCGTGTCTCTGTGTGTCTCTGTGTGTCTCTGCGTGAGTCTGCGTGTCTCTGTGTGTCTCTGTGTGTCTCTGCGTGAGTCTGCGTGTCTCTGTGTGTCTCTGCGTGAGTCCGTGTGGTGTCTCTGCGTGAGTCTCTGCGTGAGTCTCTGTGTGTTTCTGCGTGTCTCTGCGTGAGTCTGCGTGTCTCTGCGTGGTGTCTCTGTGTGTCTCTGCGTGGTGTCTCTGTGTGTCTCTGCGTGGTGTCTCTGCGTGGTGTCTCTGCGTGGTGTCTGCGTGTGTCTCTGCGTGAGTCTCTGCGTGAGTCTGCGTGTCTCTGCGTGAGTCTGCGTGTCTCTGCGTGGTGTCTCTGTGTGTCTCTGCGTGGTGTCTCTGCGTGTCTCTGCGTGGTGTCTCTGTGTGTCTCTGCGTGTCTCTGCGTGAGTCCGAGAGAGGGGGGGGGTGTCTCCCCCGGTTCATTCCCTTTCTGTCTTTCCGTAACGTCTCAGATCTGAGCGGCAGTCCGGCACGGCCTCTCATGAAGCGTTCCGGAGGCCCTCCCCCCCCTGCCCCTGCCCCTCCCCCTGCCCCTGCGGAGGCCCACGAGGCCCCGGGCCCGGCCACGCGTCCCTTGGCCCGCTGGAGGCGAGCGGCCCCCGGCGTCGCCTTGCCCAGCGGCGGGGGCGTGGGGCACGGCGGCAGCGGCGGCAGCGGCTGGGAGATTCTGACGCTGGGGGAGAGGCAGCGGGGAGACGGAGGAGGGGGAGGCGGCGGCGGTGGCGTCACCACGGAGACGGAGAGAGAGGAGGGACCCGTCGCCACGGAGACGGAGGAGGACGAGGAGGAGGTTAGCGGAGGCGTGGCGGTGACCCACGGGGGCACGCCGGGCGTCGGGAAGGGAGTAGCCACGGAGACCGGAGACGTCGCCGTGGAGACGGGGGTCGCCGTGGCGACGGGGGTCGCCGTGGAGACGGGGGTCGCCGTGGCGACGGGGGTCACGAGGCCTAGCAGGAGGTGGGTCAGAGGCCGTGGACCACAGGAGCAGCGTGAGGTTGCGGCTTGCTCCAGCGACTCCGTTGCTGACGAGCTCCGTCACTCTCCCAAGGCCAAGTGAGTGGTGGTGGTCGATGAGGTGGAGTGTGGTGGTGGTGGAGTGTGGTGGTGGTGGAGTGTGGTGGTGGAGTGTGGTGGAGTGTGGTGGTGGAGTGTGGTGGTGGTTGAGTGTGGTGGTGGAGTGTGGTGGTGGTGGAGTGTGGTGGAGTGTGGTGGTGGAGTGTGGTGGTGGAGTGTGGTGGAGTGTGGTGGTGGAGTGTGGTGGAGTGTGGTGGTGGAGTGTGGTGGTGGAGTGTGGTGGTGGAGTGTGGTGGTGGTCGATGAGGTGGAGTGTGGTGGTGGTGGAGTGTGGTGGTGGTGGAGTGTGGTGGAGTGTGGTGGAGTGTGGTGGTGGAGTGTGGAGGAGTGTGGTGGTGGAGTGTGGTGGTGGTGGAGTGTGGTGGAGTGTGGTGGAGTGTGGTGGAGTGTGGTGGTGGAGTGTGGAGGAGTGTGGTGGAGTGTGGTGGTGGAGTGTGGTGGAGTGTGGTGGTGGAGTGTGGTGGTGGAGTGTGGTGGAGTGTGGTGGTGGAGTGTGGTGGAGTGTGGTGGTGGAGTGTGGTGGAGTGTGGTGGTGGAGTGTGGTGGTGGAGTGTGGTGGTGGAGTGTGGTGGTGGAGTGTGGTGGTGGTGGAGTGTGGTGGAGTGTGGTGGTGGAGTGTGGTGGTGGAGTGTGGTGGTGGAGTGTGGTGGTGGAGTGTGGTGTTGGAGTGTGAAGGAGTGTGGTGGAGTGTGGTGGAGTGTGGCGGTGGAGTGTGGTGTTGGTCGATGAGGTGGAGTGTGGTGGAGTGTGGTGGAGTGTGGTGGAGTGTGGTGGTGGAGTGTGGTGGTGGAGTGTGGTGGAGTGTGGTGGAGTGTGGTGGTGGAGTGTGGTGGAGTGTGGTGGTGGACTGTGGTGGAGTGAGGTGGTGGAGTGTGGTGGAGTGTGGTGGAGTGTGGTGGTGGAGTGTGGTGTTGGAGTGTGAAGGAGTGTGGTGGAGTGTGGTGGAGTGTGGTGGAGTGTGGTGGTGGAGTGTGGTGTTGGTCGATGAGGTGGAGTGTGATGGTGGAGTGTGGTGGAGTGTGGTGGAGTGTGGTGGTGGAGTGTGGTGGTGGAGTGTGGTGGAGTGTGGTGGAGTGTGGTGGAGTGTGGTGGTGGAGTGTGGTGGAGTGTGGTGGTGGACTGTGGTGGAGTGAGGTGGTGGAGTGAGGAGGAGTGTGAGGAGTGTGGTGGAGGAGTGTGGTGGAGTGAGGAGGAGTATGAGGAGTGTGGTGGAGTGAGGTGGTGGAGTGTGGTGGAGTGAGGTGGAGTGTGGTGGAGTGTGTAGGAGTGTGGTGTTGGAGTGAGGAGTGTGTAGGAGTGTGGAGTGTGGTGGAGTGTGGTGTTGGAGTGAGGAGTGTGAGGAGTGTGTAGGAGTGTGGTGTTGGAGTGAGGAGTGTGAGGAGTGTGAGGAGTGTGGTGTAGGAGTGAGGAGTGTGAGGAGTGTGGTGTTGGAGTGAGGAGTGAGGAGTGTGGAGGAGTGTGGTGGAGTGAGGAGTGTGGTGGTGGAGTGTGTAGGAGTGTGGTGTTGGAGTGTGGTGGAGTGTGGAGGAGTATGGTGGAGTGTGAGGAGTGTGGTGTTGGAGTGTGGTGGAGTGTGAGGAGTGTGGTGTTGGAGTGTGGTGGAGTGTGGTGGAGTGTGAGGAGTGTGGTGGTGGAGTGTGGTGGAGTGTGAGGAGTGTGGTGTAGGAGTGTGAGGAGTGTGGTGTAGGAGTGAGGAGTGTGAGGAGTGTGGTGTAGGAGTGAGGAGTGTGTAGGAGGAGTGTGTAGGAGTGTGGTGTTGGAGTGAGGAGTGTGAGGAGTGTGGTGTTGGAGTGAGGAGTGGGAGGAGTGTGGTGTTGGAGTGAGGAGTGTGAGGAGTGTGTAGGAGTGTGGTGTTGGAGTGTGGTGGAGTGTGGAGGAGTGTGGTGGAGTGTGAGAAGTGTGGTGTTGGAGTGTGGTGGAGTGTGGTGGAGTGTGAGGAGTGTGGTGTTGGAGTGAGGAGTGTGAGGAGTGTGGTGTTGGAGTGAAGAGTGTGAGGAGTGTGGTGTAGGAGTGTGTAGGAGGAGTGAGGAGTGTGAGGAGTGTGAGGAGTGTGGTGTTGGAGTGAGGAGTGTGGTGGAGTGTGGTGTAGGAGTGTGTAGGAGTGTGAGGAGTGTGGTGTAGGAGTGTGGTGTTGGAGTGAGGAGTGTGAGGAGTGTGGTGTTGGAGTGAGGAGTGTGAGGAGAGTGAGGAGTGTGGTGTTGGAGTGAGGAGTGTGAGGAGTGTGAGGAGTGTGGTGTTGGAGTGTGTAGGAGGAGTGAGGAGTGTGGTGTAGGAGTGTGAGGAGTGTGAGGAGTGTGGTGTAGGAGTGAGGAGTGTGAGGAGTGAGGAGTGTGAGGAGTGAGGAGTGTGAGGAGTGTGAGGAGTGTGATGTTGGAGTGAGGAGTGTGTAGGAGGAGTGTGTAGGAGTGTGAGGAGTGTGGTGTTGGAGTGAGGAGTGTGTAGGAGTGTGTAGGAGTGAGGAGTGTGAGGAGTGTGGTGTTGGAGTGAGGAGTGTGTAGGAGTGTGTAGGAGTGTGTAGGAGTGTGGTGTTGGAGTGAGGATCTCACCACCCTCTCATCTCTCCACCACAGGCCTCTTGTGGGTGGCCCCGCGCTCTACAACTCCACGGAGACCCCCCCAGGGGACCCCCCCCCAGGGGACCCCCCCCCAGGGGACCCCCCCCCAGGGGACCCCCCCCCAGGGGACCCCCCGCCAGGGCCGTCTACGCTGCCCGAGCGTCTGCTGTGCGGGAGCTGCGGGGGTCTGCTGAGGCAGCCCAAGCTGCTGCCGTGCCTCCACGCCTTCTGTCAGCGCTGCCTCCACGTGACGCGGGAGGGGGAGGGGCAGGGGGAGGGGCAAACGGACGGTGGGCGGGGCGAGGGTGAGTGAGTGGGTGGGTGGGTGGGTGAGTGGGTGAGTGGGTGGGTGGGTGGGTGAGTGGGTGGGTGGGTGGGTGAGTGAGTGGGTGGGTGGGTGGGTGAGTGGGTGAGTGGGTGGGTGGGTGGGTGAGTGAGTGGGTGGGTGGGTGAGTGGGTGGGTGGGGCGAGGGTGAGTGGGTGGGTGAGTGGGTGAGTGAGTGGGTGGGTGGGTGGGTGAGTGGGTGAGTGGGTGGGTGGGTGGGTGAGTGGGTGAGTGGGTGGGTGGGTGAGTGAGTGGGTGAGTGAGTGAGTGGGTGAGTGAGTGGGTGGGTGGGTGGGGCGAGGGTGAGTGGGCGGGTGGGGCGTGAGTGAGTGTGAGTGAGTGTGAGTGAGTGTGGGTGAGTGAGTGAGTGTGGTGTGTGACACGGTGTGAGTGAGTGTGAGTGGGTGGGTGAGTGTGAGTGGGTGAGTGAGTGAGTGAGTGGTGAGTGAGTGTGGTTGGGTGACACGGTGTGAGTGAGTGGGTGAGTGTGAGTGAGTGTGGTTGGGTGGTCGTGGTTGTGGTCGTGACCGCCATCACAATCCCGACTCGCCGTCACCGTCTCCCACCAGGCGTTGACCCCACGTCGGTCAGCTCGGCGGCGGTGACGGGGGTCGTGCGGTGCTGCGTGTGCGGGGAGCGGAGCCGCGTCCCTCCTGGTGGGACATCCGAGCTGCCCACCGACCACCTCCGTGCTACCGAGCTGCTGCGCCACCGGGTGGCCACAGCAGCAGCAGCAGGCACAGCAACAGCAGCAGCAGCAGGTCCGACCTGTGACCTGTGCTGCTGTCCAGGCACCACGCAGCAGCAGGAGGCGGTGGTGGGCGTCGATAAGGTGGGGTGGGGTAGGTGAGTGAGTGGGTGGGTGGGTTGGTGAATGAGTGGGTGAGTGGGTGAATGAGTGGGTGAGTGAGTGGGTGAGTGGGTTGGTGAATGAGTGGGTGAGTGGGTGGGTGGGTGAGTAAATTGGGTGAATGAGTGGGTGAGTGAGTGGGTGAGTGAGTGGGTGAGTGAGTGAGTGAGTGTGTGAGTGGGTGAGTGAGTGAGTGGGTGAGTGAGTGTGTGAGTGGGTGAATGAGTGGGTGAGTGAGTGGGTGAGTGGGTGAATGAGTGGGTGAGTGAGTGGGTGAGTGAGTGAGTGAGTGGGTGGGTGGGTGAGTGGGTGAGTGGGTGGGTGGGTGAGTGGGTGGGTGGGTTGGTGAATGAGTGGGTGAGTGGGTGGGTGGGTGAGTGAGTGGGTGAGTGGGTGAGTGAGTGGGTGAGTGAGTGGGTGAGTGAGTGAGTGAGTGGGTGGGTGAGTGGGTGAGTGGGTGGGTGGGTTGGTGAATGAGTGGGTGAGTGGGTGGGTGGGTGAGTGGGTGAGTGAGTGGGTGAGTGAGTGGGTGAGTGAGTGAGTGTGTGAGTGGGTGAGTGAGTGAGTGGGTGAGTGAGTGTGTGAGTGGGTGAATGAGTGGGTGAGTGAGTGGGTGAGTGAGTGAGTGAGTGGGTGAGTGAGTGTGTGAGTGGGTGAGTGAGTGGGTGAGTGAGTGGGTGAGTGAGTAGGTGAGTGAGTAGGTGAGTGAGTAGGTGAGTGAGTGAGTGAGTAGGTGAGTGAGTAGGTGAGTGAGTGTGTAGGTGAGTGAGTGAGTAGGTGAGTAGGTGAGTGAGTCTGGCTCCCCTACGGACAGGCTCACAGCTACTGTGAGGAGTGTGTAGGTGAGTGAGTAGGTGAGTGAGTGAGTGAGTAGGTGAGTGAGTAGGTGAGTGAGTGAGTAGGTGAGTGAGTAGGTGAGTGAGTAGTTGAGTGAGTAGGTGAGTGAGTAGGTGAGTGAGTAGGTGAGTGAGTGAGTAGGTGAGTGAGTAGGTGAGTAGGTGAGTGAGTCTGGCTCCCCTACGGACAGGCTCACAGCTACTGTGAGGAGTGTGTAGGTGAGTGAGTAGGTGAGTGAGTAGGTGAGTGAGTAGGTGAGTAGGTGAGTGAGTAGGTGAGTGAGTAGGTGAGTGAGTCTGGCTCCCCTACGGACAGGCTCACAGCTACTGTGAGGAGTGTGTAGGTGAGTGAGTGAGTGAGTAGGTGAGTGAGTGAGTGAGTAGGTGAGTGAGTCTGGCTCCCCTACGGACAGGCTCACAGCTACTGTGAGGAGTGTGTAGGTGAGTGAGTGAGTGAGTAGGTGAGTGAGTAGGTGAGTGAGTGAGTGAGTAGGTGAGTGAGTAGGTGAGTTAGTGAGTAGGTGAGTGAGTAGATGAGTAGGTGAGTGAGTCTGGCTCCCCTACGGACAGGCTCACAGCTACTGTGAGGAGTGTGTAGGTGAGTGAGTAGGTGAGTGAGTGAGTGAGTAGGTGAGTGAGTGAGTAGGTGAGTGAGTAGGTGAGTAGGTGAGTGAGTCTGGCTCCCCTACGGACAGGCTCACAGCTGCTGTGAGGAGTGTGTAGGTGAGTGAGTAGGTGAGTGAGTGAGTGAGTGAGTAGGTGAGTGAGTAGGTGAGTGAGTGAGTGAGTAGGTGAGTGAGTAGGTGAGTGAGTAGGTGAGTAGGTGAGTGAGTCTGGCTCCCCTACGGACAGGCTCACAGCTACTGTGAGGAGTGTGTAGGTGAGTGAGTAGGTGAGTGAGTGAGTGAGTAGGTGAGTGAGTAGGTGAGTGAGTAGGTGAGTAGGTGAGTGAGTCTGGCTCCCCTACGGACAGGCTCACAGCTACTGTGAGGAGTGTGTAGGTGAGTGAGTAGGTGAGTTAGTAGGTGAGTGAGTAGGTGAGTGAGTAGGTGAGTGAGTAGGTGAGTGAGTAGGTGAGTGAGTAGGTGTGTGAGTAGGTTAGTGAGTAGGTGAGTGAGTGAGTAGGTGAGTGAGTAGGTGAGTGAGTGAGTGAGTAGGTGAGTGAGTGAGTAGGTGAGTGAGTAGGTGAGTGAGTGAGTGAGTAGGTGAGTGAGTAGGTGAGTAGGTGAGTGAGTCTGGCTCCCCTACGGACAGGCTCACAGCTACTGTGAGGAGTGTGTAGGTGAGTGAGTAGGTGAGTGAGTGAGTGAGTAGGTGAGTGAGTAGGTGAGTGAGTGAGTGAGTAGGTGAGTGAGTAGGTGAGTGAGTCTGGCTCCCCTACGGACAGGCTCACAGCTACTGTGAGGAGTGTGTAGGTGAGTGAGTAGGTGAGTGAGTGAGTGAGTAGGTGAGTGAGTAGGTGAGTGAGTGAGTGAGTAGGTGAGTGAGTAGGTGAGTGAGTCTGGCTCCCCTACGGACAGGCTCACAGCTACTGTGAGGAGTGTGTAGGTGAGTGAGTGAGTGAGTAGGTGAGTGAGTAGGTGAGTGAGTGAGTGAGTAGGTGAGTGAGTCTGGCTCCCCTACGGACAGGCTCACAGCTACTGTGAGGAGTGTGTAGGTGAGTGAGTGAGTGAGTAGGTGAGTGAGTAGGTGAGTGAGTGAGTAGGTGAGTGAGTAGGTGAGTGAGTGAGTGAGTAGGTGAGTGAGTGAGTAGGTGAGTGAGTAGGTGAGTGAGTGAGTGAGTAGGTGAGTGAGTAGGTGAGTAGGTGAGTGAGTCTGGCTCCCCTACGGACAGGCTCACAGCTACTGTGAGGAGTGTGTAGGTGAGTGAGTAGGTGAGTGAGTGAGTGAGTAGGTGAGTGAGTAGGTGAGTGAGTGAGTGAGTAGGTGAGTGAGTAGGTGAGTGAGTCTGGCTCCCCTACGGACAGGCTCACAGCTACTGTGAGGAGTGTGTAGGTGAGTGAGTAGGTGAGTGAGTGAGTGAGTAGGTGAGTGAGTAGGTGAGTGAGTGAGTGAGTAGGTGAGTGAGTAGGTGAGTGAGTCTGGCTCCCCTACGGACAGGCTCACAGCTACTGTGAGGAGTGTGTAGGTGAGTGAGTGAGTGAGTAGGTGAGTGAGTAGGTGAGTGAGTGAGTGAGTAGGTGAGTGAGTCTGGCTCCCCTACGGACAGGCTCACAGCTACTGTGAGGAGTGTGTAGGTGAGTGAGTAGGTGAGTGAGTGAGTAGGTGAGTGAGTAGGTGAGTGAGTGAGTGTGTAGGTGAGTGAGTAGGTGAGTGAGTAGGTGAGTAGGTGAGTGAGTCTGGCTCCCCTACGGACAGGCTCACAGCTACTGTGAGGAGTGTGTAGGTGAGTAGGTGAGTGAGTGAGTAGGTGAGTGAGTAGGTGAGCGAGTGAGTAGGTGAGTGAGTGATTGAGTAGGTGAGTAGGTGAGTAGGTGAGTGAGTCTGGCTCCCCTACGGACAGGCTCACAGCTACTGTGAGGAGTGTGTAGGTGAGTGTGTAGGTGAGTGAGTGAGTGAGTAGGTGAGTGAGTAGGTGAGTGAGTGAGTAGGTGAGTGAGTAGGTGAGTGAGTAGGTGAGTGAGTCTGGCTCCCCTACGGACAGGCTCACAGCTACTGTGAGGAGTGTGTAGGTGAGTGAGTGAGTGAGTAGGTGAGTGAGTAGGTGAGTGAGTAGGTGAGTGAGTAGGTGAGTGAGTAGGTGAGTGAGTCTGGCTCCCCTACGGACAGGCTCACAGCTACTGTGAGGAGTGTGCGGTGTTTCTCTGCGAGTTCTGCACCGAGGCTCACAGGCGTCAGAGGCCAACAGCCGGACACAGACTGACCCCTCTACAGTCACACGGCGGTGAGGCCTGCACCGAGACACCACCACAACAACCACCACAACCACCAACACCACCACCACAACCACCACTACTACAGCCATCACTACCACCACCACTACAGCCATCACCACCACCACTACAGCCACCACTACCACCAACACCACCACAACCATCAACACCACCACAACCACCACCACTACAGCCATCACTACAGCCATCACTACCACCACAACCACCAACACCACCACCACAACCACCACCACTACAGCCATCACCACCACTACCACTACAGCCACCACTACCACCACCACTACAGCCATCACTACCACCACCACTACAGCCATCACTACCACTACTACTACAGCCATCACTACCACCACCACTACAGCCATCACTACCACCACCACTACAGCCATCACTACCACCACCACTACAGCCATCACTACCACCACCACTACAGCCATCACTACCACCACCACTACAGCCATCACTACCACTACTACTACAGCCATCACTACCACCACCACTACAGCCATCACTACCACTACTACTACAGCCATCACTACCACCACCACTACAGCCATCACTACCACCACCACTACAGCCATCACTACCACCACCACTACAGCCATCACTACCACCACCACTACAGCCATCACTACCACCACATCTACAGCCATCACTACCACCACATCTACAGCCATCACTACCACCACATCTACAGCCATCACTACCACCACCACTACAGCCATCACTACCACTACTACTACAGCCATCACAACCACCACATCTACAGCCATCACTACCACCACTACTACAGCCATCACTACCACTACAGCCATCACTACCACAACCACTACAGCCATCACTCCCACCACTACTACTACAGCCATCACTACCACCACTACTACAGCCATCACTACCACTACAGCCATCACTACCACCATCACTACAGCCATCACTACCACTACAGCCATCACTACCACCACTACTACAGCCATCACTACCACTACAGCCATCACTACCACCATCACTACAGCCATCACGACCACTACAGCCATCACTCCCACCACTACTACAGCCATCACTACCACTACAGCCATCACTACCACTACAGCCATCACTACCACCACCACTACAGCCATCACTACCACTACCACCACTACAGCCATCACCACCACCACTACAGCCATCACTACCACCACTACTACAGCCATCACTACCACTACAGCCATCACTACCACTACAGCCATCACTACCACCACTACTACAGCCATCACTACCACTACAGCCATCACTACCACCACTACTACAGCCATCACTACCACCACCACCACTACAGCCATCACCACCACCACTACAGCCATCACTACCACCACTTCTACAGCCATCACTACCACTACCACTACAGCCATCACTACCACCATCACTACAGCCATCACGACCACTGCAGCCATCACTACCACTACTACTACAGCCATCACTACCACCACTACTACAGCCATCACTTCCACCACTACTACAGCCATCACTTCCACCACTACTACAGCCATCACTACCACCACCACTACAGCCATCACTACCACCACTACTACAGCCATCACTTCCACCACTACTACAGCCATCACTTCCACCACTACTACAGCCATCACTACCACCACCAGTACAGCCATCACTCCCACCACTACTACAGCCATCACTACCACCACTACTACAGCCATCACTACCACCACTAGTACAGCCATCACTACCACCACTACTACAGCCATCACTTCCACCACTACTACAGCCATCACTACCACTACCACTACAGCCATCACTACCACCATCACTACAGCCATCACCACCATCACTACCACCACTACTACAGCCATGTGAGTGTGGCTCCGAGTGTGACTCTATGATTCTGAATGACTGTGACTTTGAGTGACTGTAACTCTGAGTGACTGTGACTCTGAGTGACTGTGACTCTGAGTGACTGTGACTCTGAGTGACTGTGAATCTGAGTGACTGTAACTCTGAGTGACTGTGACTCTGAGTGACTGTGACTCTGAGTGACTGTGGCTCTGACTGTAACTCTGAGTGACTCTGACTGTAACTCTGAGTGACTGTGACTCTGAGTGACTGTGACTCTGAGTGATTGTGACTCTGAGTGACTGTAACTCTGAGTGATTGTGACTCTGAGTGACTGTAACTCTGAGTGACTGTGACTCTGAGTGATTGTGACTCTGAGTGACTGTGACTCTGAGTGATTGTGACTCTGAGTGACTGTAACTCTGAGTGATTGTGACTCTGAGTGACTGTAACTCTGAGTGACTGTGACTGTGAGTGACTGTAACTGTGAGTGACTGTAACTCTGAGTGACTGTAACTCTGAGTGACTGTGAATCTGAGTGACTGTGACTGTGAGTGACTGTAACTCTGAGTGACTGTGACTCTGAGTGACTGTGACTCTGAGTGACTGTGAATCTGAGTGACTGTGAATCTGAGTGACTGTGAGTGACTGTAACTCTGAGTGACTGTAACTCTGAGTGATTGTAACTCTGAGTTACTGTGACTCTGAGTGACTGTGACTGTGAGTGACTGTAACTGTGAGTGACTGTAACTGAGTGACTGTGACTCTGAGTGACTGTAACTCTGAGTGATTGTGACTCTGAGTGACTGTAACTCTGAGTGACTGTGACTGTGAGTGACTGTAACTGTGAGTGACTGTAACTCTGAGTGACTGTAACTCTGAGTGACTGTGACTCTGAGTGACTGTGAATCTGAGTGACTGTGACTGTGAGTGACTGTAACTCTGAGTGACTGTGACTCTGAGTGACTGTGACTCTGAGTGACTGTGAATCTGAGTGACTGTGAATCTGAGTGACTGTGACTGTGAGTGACTGTAACTCTGAGTGACTGTAACTCTGAGTGATTGTAACTCTGAGTGACTGTGACTCTGAGTGACTGTGACTGTGAGTGACTGTAACTGTGAGTGACTGTAACTGAGTGACTGTGACTCTGAGTGACTGTGACTCTGAGTGACTGTAACTCTGAGTGTGACTCTGAGTGACTGTGACTCTGAGTGTAACTCTGAGTGACTGTGAATCTGACTGTAACTCTGAGTGACTGTGAATCTGACTGTAACTCTGACTGTAACTCTGAGTGACTGTAACTCTGACTGTAACTCTGGCTGTGAATCTGAATCTGACTGTAACTCTGACTGTGAATCTGACTGTAAATCTGACTGTGAATCTGACTGTAACTCTGACACTCCTCTCCCCCCCCTCTCCCCCCTCTCTCCAGCCGGGTCCTCTTCCCCGTCCCTGTCCCGGCTGGTCCGCGTCGTGCGCCGCCCGGTGCTCTGCCGCCAGCACGCCGGGCAGGAGCTGCGCTACCGCTGTGCCGGCTGCGCCGTGCCGGCGTGCCGGGAGTGCTGCGTTGCCGGAGGGCCTCACGGCACACACGGCTGGGAGCCGGCCGAGGACGCCGCTGGGCGTGCAGCGGGGGAGGCGAGCGGAGCGCTGGAGGGAGCACACGCACGGGTGGGGGGTGTGGTGTGGTGTGGGTGTGGGGTGTGTGTGTGTGGTGTGTGGGTGGTGTGGGTGGTGTGTGTGTGGTGTGGTGTGGGTGTGGGGTGTGTGTGTGTGGTGTGTGGGTGGTGTGGGTGGTGTGTGTGTGGTGTGGTGTGTGGGTGGTGTGGGTGGTGTGGTGTGGGTGGTGTGAGTGGTGTGGGTGGTGTGCTGTGGGTGTGGTGTGGCTGGTGTGGGTGTGGAGGGGTGGGTGGTGTGGTAAGGTGTGGGTGGTGTGGGTAGATTGGGTCAGTGGGTGGTGTGAGGGGGTTATACACACACACAGACACATACACACGTGCATACAACAACAACAACAACAACCGCCATTCGCCACTAAGTGGCGGTGACGTCACCACGACGCTTGTGCCAGGCCATGTGCACCTTGAGGCCACGTGAAGTGTCGAACGCCCCCGCTGGCAGGAGGTCACGGGGCAGACCCAGGTGCCACGGGTCGACTGACTGAGATGACTGGCTGATGCACCACCTGTGTCCCCTACTGTGCCAACCCGCTGTGCTTTAGCCACCCGGCGCTCCGCTCGTTGTTGTGAGCATCGCTCCTCCGCCCTCCGTTGTTGTTGGAGGGCGACTGCCTCTAACTGCCCAGTAGCGTCCTTCACGAGCCTCCTCCACAGAGGCCGATCTTGACACCGCTGGTACCAGTCATCGACAAGTCCACTCAGCTCCACGTCCTCCTGTACCACATCACTCCATCTCTTCTCTAGCCCATGCCGCGCCTGTTTAGCCCCCACGATCCGGCCGAACAAAAGCTGTTTCGGCATGCGGTGGCTGGGCATGTGGGCTACATGACCCAGCCAACGCAGCCTTGCCTGCCGGAGGTGCTCACCGATGGGATCTTTTTCAGATCTTTCAAGGATTTGTGAGCTCCTCACACAATCCAGCCTGGTTAAACCCAGAATTTATCGTAGGCAGGCCAGCCTAAATGTTTCTCACCGGCGAAGTTGTTCCATTAGGGGGGTCCACGTTTCACAAGCGTAGAGAAGGGAGGGAATGACCGTGGCCGAGAAGACCTGAAGCTTAGTGCGGAGCGACAGACCAGGTAGCTTCCACACAGTGTTACGCAACCGATGAAAATATAATGCTGCTCGACTGATTCGGAGTGACACCTGTGCTTTTAAACTGGTCATGAGCATACTGCCCAGGTATGGAAAACTCTCCACTCTCTCCACAACTGCCCCATCACCGATTGGGGAGTTGTGGGGGTGGAGTGCCCGATGGTACAAAATACCCAGGCAGGTGCTTAGTTTTGTTGGGGCTGATGGTAAGGCCTCATCTCTTAGTGGCACGCTCCAGTTTCAGCAGCAGCGCCTCCATCTCCTCCTCTGAGTGAGCTGCAATTACCAAATCATCGGCATACGTAACGTGGTTGACCAATAGGGAGCCATCCCTTGACCGCACCCGGGCATCGATCAGCCTCCCATTATATCTGTACCAAATGGAGATTCCCCCGGTACAGCTATTGAAGGCTTCACAAACTACGTGGTCAAAATAGATGTTAAATAATGTGGGAGCCAGAGGACATCCCTGTCGCACCCCAAGGTGTACAGGGAATGGCTCTGACTCCCGGCCACGTAGTTTTACCCGGGCCCGCTCACCATCATGAAGGTACTTAATGATCGTGAGCAGAGGGTCAGGGACTCCGAGAGCACGAAAAACAACCCAGAGCCCAGGCCAACTGATGGTATCATAGGCCTTGACCAGGTCAATAAAGCAGAGATGTAGGTCTTGTTGGAATTCCCTACACCTCTGCTGCAGCAGACGGACAGAAAATATGGCATCTGTGCAGGACTGCCCTTTCCTGAAACCGCATTGGGGCTCCGCAAGCATCTCCTCAGCGTTCCTGGCAAGGCGATATTGAATAATCCTTGCCAAGACCTTTCCCGGCACACTTAGGAGTGAGATGCCCCTGTAGTTATAAGTCTGTGCGGTCCCCTTTCTTAAAGAGGGGGACCACCAGGGCATCCTTCCAATCCTGTGGAACCCGTTCAGTGGTCCAGACTGTTGTTTTGATGTCATGTAGGGCAGTCTGTGCACAAACGCCACCCTCCCTCAGCATTTCGCTTAGGAGATCAGCTCTGCCCGGTGCTCAACAGATGGCACCTCAGCCAGCCACTCACAGGGGGTGACTTCTTCCAATATTTGAGGCACCGCAGCCTCAGCAGGGTCATCCCTACTTTGTGCCACGATGTTTTCCTGGCTGAGGGGTTTCCCCTCCCCCAGGACCTCACAGAAATGCTCAGCAAATCTGCAAACCTGTTCCTGGGGGTCGGAGCTTGGATCACCGTTTTTTTCCCCTAATCATGATGATAGGTGTGGCACTGCAAGTTATTTTTTGATGGAATTAAAGAGTGATTTGTGATCGCGGGCCATTAAGGCAGACTCCGTCTCCTCAGCAACCCGCGACCACCACCCATCCTTGCAGCGCCTCACGGCTCTCCGAACCTCCGAGCGAAGGCTGCGGTAAGCCTCCTCATTCTCTGACGTGGGATGCTGTAGACGATAAGAGTCAGTCACTTTTTCTCAGCCAGCCTGAACACCTCCTTTGCCAGCCAGGGTCTCTGGGGAGGTCTGGACCGTGTAGCCAAAGCAGCCATTGCAGCTGCATGAGTCACAGTCCTAAACCTCGCCCATTTACCCTCCACATCAGGAGGAGTGGGGGACGATGCCAATCCCAGCCGCAAGCGATGATGAAATTCTCACTTGCAACTTTCATCAGCTAGCGGAGACCAGGCAACTGTGGGTTTGAATGGGGTCCTGTGTGCACACCCACCACCGGAGTGGAAGAATGGCAGATGGATCTTACAGATGACAAGTCGATGGTCAGAGGGCAGATCAGCTCCACGGTAGGTCCTGGTGACATGGTCCCGCATCCGCTGGTCCGTCACTATGTAGTCCAGCAGATGTTCTTGCTTGGACCCGGCATGCATCCATGATGTTGTGTGGATGAACCGATGCCGGAACAGCGTGTTGGTAATTACAAGCCCATGGGCTGCACAAAAGTCTAGCAGCCTCCTACCATTATTATTTAACTGATCTGGCCCATGCCTTCCAATCACACCAGACCAGGTGCCAGCATCATGACCAACTCGGGCATTGAAGTCACCCAACAAGATGACTCTACCCCGAGGGGCCACTTTAGCCAGCACCTGTGACAGGAGGTCATAGAAGGCATCTGACTCATTGGCTTTGCCTGCATCCCTCCACGGATGTTCATCTTCGGTGGGGGCATAAGTAACCACGACCACCGCTCCTCGCCTCCGGTTGACGGGAAGGCGAGCCCAAAGTAGCCTGGGGCTTACAGCTTCCCACACCTCACCGCCACGCTCCCACGCCCCCTTCATTCTTTTGTTCAGAAGAAGAGCCACTCCCTGTTGTTTGGCAGTAGAGGACTGTCCACCCCTCATGGTGGCAGGAGCCAGAGCCGATCCACCGGACCTCCTGAATATCCGTCTGGCCCCACGTCTCCCCCATGTCTCCCGTCTCACCCCCGCGTCTCACCCCCGGTGTCTCGCCCGCGTGTCCCCCGCGTGTCCCACCCCAGGCGAGGGCTATGGAGGCGTCCGTGCGTAAGCTGCAGGAGCTCTCCGAGTTGACGGAGGAGCGCGCCGAGCGAACACGTGGGGACATTGAGAGCTTCCGCCGGGCATACGAGCTCACAGTGCACACGCACTACCACTCCCTGCTGCAATCACTTGACGAGGTGTCCACTCTACACGGACACTCTACACCATCACTCTACACCATCACTCTACACTATCACTCTACACTATCACTCTACACTGACACTCTACACCATCACTCTACACTATCACTCTACACTATCACTCTACACTATCACTCTACACGGACACTCTACACCATCACTCTACACCATCACTCTACACCATCACTCTACACTGACACTCTACACCATCACTCTACACTATCACTCTACACTATCACTCTACACTATCACTCTACACTATCACTCTACACTGACACTCTACACCATCACTCTACACTATCACTCTACACTATCACTCTACACTGACACTCTACACTATCACTCTACACTGACACTCTACACTATCACTCCCTGCTGCAATCACTTGACGAGGTGTCGACTCTACACCATCAACTCTACACCATCACTCTACACTATCACTCTACACTATCACTCTACACTATCACTCTACACCATCACTCTACACTATCACTCTACACTATCACTCTACACCATCACTCTACACTATCACTCTACACTATCACTCTACACTATCACTCTACACTATCACTCTACACTGACACTCTACACCATCACTCTACACTATCACTCTACACTGTCACTCTACACTATCACTCTACACTGTCACTCTACACTGACACTCTACACTATCACCCTACACCATCACTCTACACCATCACTCTACACTGACACTCTACACTATCACTCTACACTATCACTCTACACTATCACTCTACACCATCACTCTACACTGACACTCTACACCATCACTCTACACCATCACTCTACACTATCACTCTACACTATCACTCTACACTGACACTCTACACTGACACTCTACACTATCACTCTACACTATCACTCTACACTATCACTCTACACCATCACTCTACACTGACACTCTACACTGACACTCTACACTATCACTCTACACTATCACTCTACACCATCACTCTACACCATCACTCTACACTATCACTCTACACTATCACTCTACACTATCACTCTACACCGACACTCTACACTATCACTCTACACCATCACTCTACACTATCACTCTACACCATCACTCTACACCATCACTCTACACCATCACTCTACACTATCACTCTACACCATCACTCTACACTATCACTCTACACCATCACTCTACACTATCACTCTACACTGACACTCTACACTATCACTCTACACTATCACTCTACACTATCACTCTACACTATCACTCTACACCATCACTCTACACTATCACTCTACACTATCACTCTACACCATCACTCTACACTATCACTCTACACCATCACTCTACACCATCACTCTACACCATCACTCTACACCATCACTCTACACTATCACTCTACACTATCACTCTACACCATCACTCTACACTGACACTCTACACTATCACTCTACACCATCACTCGACACTATCACTCTACACTGACACTCTACACTATCACTCTACACTATCACTCTACACCATCACTCTACACCATCACTCTACACTATCACTCTACACTATCACTCTACACTATCACTCTACACCATCACTCTACACTGACACTCTACACCATCACTCTACACTATCACTCTACACTATCACTCTACACTATCACTCTACACCATCACTCTACACCATCACTCTACACCATCACTCTACACCATCACTCTACACCATCACTCTACACCATCACTCTACACTATCACTCTACACTATCACTCTACACTATCACTCTACACTATCACTCTACACTATCACTCTACACCATCACTCTACACTATCACTCTACACTATCACTCTACACTATCACTCTACACTATCACTCTACACTATCACTCTACACTATCACTCTACACTATCACTCTACACTATCACTCTACACTATCACTCTACACTGACACTCTACACCATCACTCTACACCATCACTCTACACTACCACTCTACACTATCACTCTACACTATCACTCTACACTATCACTCTACACTATCACTCTACACCATCACTCTACACCATCACTCTACACTATCACTCTACACTGACACTCTACACCATCACTCTACACTATCACTCTACACTGACACTCTACACTGACACTCTACACTATCACTCTACACCATCACTCTACACTATCACTCTACACCATCACTCTACACTGACACTCTACACCATCACTCTACACTATCACTCTACACTATCACTCTACACTATCACTCTACACCATCACTCTACACTATCACTCTACACTATCACTCTACACTATCACTCTACACTATCACTCTACACTATCACTCTACACTATCACTCTACACTATCACTCTACACTATCACTCTACACTATCACTCTACACTGACACTCTACACCATCACTCTACACCATCACTCTACACTATCACTCTACACTATCACTCTACACTATCACTCTACACTATCACTCTACACTATCACTCTACACCATCACTCTACACCATCACTCTACACTATCACTCTACACTATCACTCTACACTATCACTCTACACCATCACTCTACACTATCACTCTACACTATCACTCTACACTATCACTCTACACTATCACTCTACACTATCACTCTACACCATCACTCTACACCATCACTCTACACTATCACTCTACACTATCACTCTACACTATCACTCTACACCATCACTCTACACCATCACTCTACACTACCACTCTACACTATCACTCTACACTATCACTCTACACTATCACTCTACACCATCACTCTACACTATCACTCTACACTATCACTCTACACCATCACTCTACACTATCACTCTACACTGACACTCTACACCATCACTCTACACTATCACTCTACACTGACACTCTACACTGACACTCTACACTATCACTCTACACCATCACTCTACACTATCACTCTACACTATCACTCTACACTATCACTCTACACCATCACTCTACACTATCACTCTACACTATCACTCTACACCATCACTCTACACCATCACTCTACACTATCACTCTACACTATCACTCTACACCATCACTCTACACCATCACTCTACACTACCACTCTACACTATCACTCTACACTATCACTCTACACTATCACTCTACACCATCACTCTACACCATCACTCTACACTATCACTCTACACTGACACTCTACACCATCACTCTACACTATCACTCTACACTGACACTCTACACTGACACTCTACACTATCACTCTACACCATCACTCTACACTATCACTCTGCACTATCACTCTACACTATCACTCTACACCATCACTCTACACTATCACTCTACACTATCACTCTACACCATCACTCTACACCATCACTCTACACTATCACTCTACACTATCACTCTACACTATCACTCTACACTATCACTCTACACTGACACTCTACACTATCACTCTACACTATCACTCTACACTATCACTCTACACTATCACTCTACACTAACACTCTACACTATCACTCTACACTGTCACTCTACACTATCACTCTACACTATCACTCTACATTATCACTCTACACCATCACTCTACACTATCACTCTACACCATCACTCTACACCATCACTCTACACTATCACTCTACACTATCACTCTACACCATCACTCTACACTATCACTCTACACTGTCACTCTACACTATCACTCTACACTATCACTCTACATTATCACTCTACACCATCACTCTACACTATCACTCTACACTATCACTCTACACTATCACTCTACACTATCACTCTACACTATCACTCTACACTGTCACTCTACACTATCACTCTACACTATCACTCTACATTATCACTCTACACCATCACTCTACACTATCACTCTACACTGACACTCTACACTATCACTCTACACTATCACTCTACACTATCACTCTACACCATCACTCTACACCATCACTCTACACCGACACTCTACACTATCACTCTACACTGACACTCTACACCATCACTCTACACTATCACTCTACACTATCACTCTACACTATCACTCTACACTGTCACTCTACACTATCACTCTACACTATCACTCTACACCATCACTCTACACCATCACTCTACACCGACACTCTACACTATCACTCTACACCGTCACTCTACACCATCACTCTACACCATCACTCTACACCGACACTCTACACTATCACTCTACACCAGGGGTCGGGAACCTATGGCTCGCGAGCCAGATGTGGCTCTTTTGATGATTGCATATGGCTCGCAGATAAAACAAAATATTCTCACTTGTTTTAATCCATCCATCGATTTTTCACTGCGCATGTCCTGTTCAGGGCTGCAGGAGCAATTGTCCATTATTTTAATTGGATGATACTGGCCTACGTTTGCCGTTGCTGGGTAAAACAGGTAAACGCCCCCTTTTGAATCAGTCTGAGACTGCGTCTGCTCGGTCATTAGCTCAAAGCTAACCCTTCGACGAAGAAGATGGCGAAAAGAAAAAAAGACGACGAGTATCGTACATTTCAGGACGAATGGACCGAAGAATTCGCCTTTGTGGAGAGAGCGGGTTCTGCGGTGTGTCTAATTTGCAATGACAAAATTACATCGTTGAAACGGTCGAATGTAAAGCGGCACTTCGACACGCGCCACGCTACCTTTGCATCAAAATACCCTGCGGGAGACAGCAGAAAGAAAGCGTGCCAAGAGCTTCTGAGCAGGGTGCAAGCTAGCCAGCAGCAACTCCGCGTATGGACCCGGCAAGGTGACTATAATTCGGCTAGCTTTGCTGGTTCTTTAGCAATAGTGAGGAACGGAAAACCATTCACAGATGGCGAGTATGCTAAAACGTTCATGCTGGATGTAGCCAATGAACTTTTTGATGATCTTCCGAACAAAGACAAGATAATCAAACGGATACAAGACATGCCTCTGTCGGCAAGAACTGTTCATGATCGTACCATCGTGATGGCAAACAAAGTGGAGGAAACGCAAGTGAAGGACATAAATGCAGCGCCGTTCTTTTCTCTGGCTTTGGATGAGTCAACAGACGTGAGCCATTTGTCGCAGTTCAGCGTGATTGCAAGATATGCTGTTGGTGACACACTGCGCGAAGAAAGTCTTGCTGTTCTGCCATTAAAAGGGTCCACAAGAGGTGAGGATTTATTCAAGTCTTTCATGGAGTTTGCTCAAGAAAAAAGTCTACCTATGGATAAACTTCTCTCAGTGTGTACTGATGGTGCTCCGTGTATGGTGGGGAAAAACAAAGGATTTGTGGCGCTTCTCCGTGAACATGAAAATAGACCCATCCTAAGTTTCCATTGCATTATACACCAGGAGGCACTTTGTGCTCAGATGTGTGACAGGCAGTTTGGCGAAGTGATGTCGCTGGTCATTCGTGTGATCAACTTTATTGTTGCCCGAGCCTTAAATGATCGCCAGTTTAAAACACTGCTGGATGAAGTTGTAAATAACTATCCTGGTCTGCTTTTGCACAGCAATGTGCATTGGTTGTCAAGAGGGAAGGTGCTTAGCCGTTTTGCGGCTTGCCTGAACGAAATCCGGACTTTCCTTGAAATGAAAGGCGTCGGGCATCCTGAGCTAGCCGACACCGAGTGGCTCCTCAAGTTTTACTATCTCGTAGATCTGACTGAACATCTGAACCAGCTCAACGTGAAAATGCAAGGCATTGGAAATACAGTGTTATCCCTTTAACAAGCTGTATTTGCTTTTGAAAACAAGCTGGAGCTTTTCATCACGGATCTTGAAACAGGTCGTTTACTACATTTTGAAAAACTGAGCCAATTTAAAGATGCATGCACAGCAAGTGAGCCCATTCAAAACCTTGATCTCCACCAGCTAGCTGGCTGCACATCCAGTCTCCTACAGTCCTTCAAAGCACGCTTTGGAGAATTTCGTGAGCACACTCGTCTTTTTAAGTTCATCACCCATCCAAACGAGTGTTCACTGAACACAGCCGACCTGAATTACATCCCTGGTGTCTCCGTCAGAGATTTTGAAGCAGAAGTGGCTGACCTGAAGGCCTCAGACATGTGGGTGAATAAGTTCAAGTCACTGAATGAAGATTTGGAAAGAATCACACGACAGAAAGCAGAGTTGGCGAGCAAGCACATGTGGACAGAAATGAAAAAACTCCAACCCGAAGACCAGCTGATTCTCAAAACTTGGAACGCGCTTCCTGTCACATACCACACACTGCAGCGTGTGAGTATTGCTGTATTGACCATGTTTGGATCTACGTATGCATGTGAGCAGTCATTCTCACATCTTAAAAACATCAAGTCCAACCTACGATCACGTTTAACGGATGAAAGCCTCAACGCTTGCATGAAGCTTAACCTCACCAAGTACCAACCCGACTACAAAGACATCAGCAAATCCATGCAGCACCAGAAGTCGCATTAATGGTGAGTGTTATAACAACATTATTTAAAAGAATAAATTCAGAAGCTTATTATACTGACATTTAGTTGAATTCACTTTTAAAATATATTATATGGCTCTCACTGAAATAAATTTCCAAATTTTTTGCTTTCATGGCTCTCTTAGTCAAAAAGGTTCCCGACCCCTGCTCTACACTATCACTCTACACTATCACTCTACACCATCACTCTACACTATCACTCTACACTATCACTCTACACCATCACTCTACACCATCACTCCACACCGACACTCTACACTGACACTTACCATCTCCCCCTACCTTCTGTCTCCCCCCCACTCTCCCCACCACCACCACCACCGTGGTTGTGGCCGTGACGGTGGTCCCGGTGGTGGTGGTGGTCCCGGTGGTCCCGGTGGTGGTCCTGGTGGTGGTGGTAGAAGCTACGGCTGTGCCGGGCTTCTCTGCAGTGGCGATCTTCTTCTCTCCGCTCCGGCCTGGCGGAGCTCCGCTCGGCCACGGCCTTCACCGAGCACCTCCTGCGGCACGGTCACCCCGTCGACATCATGCTCACAGCGCCGCTCGCCACGCAGAGGCTCGCCACGCTGGCCCGCCAGGTGAGGAGGTGGTGGTGAGGAGGAGTTGGTGAGGAGGAGGTGGTGAGGAGGTGGTGGCTCGCCAGGTGAGTCTATGATGATGACGATGATGATGATAGCGATGATGATGATGGTGATGACGATAGCGATGATGATGATGATGATGACGATGATGATGACGCCGATGATGATAGCGATGATGGTGATGATGACGATGACGATGATGATGATGATGCCGATGACGATAGCGATGATGATGATGATAACGATAGTGATGATGATGATGATGACGATAGTGATGATGATGATGATGACGATGATGATAACGATAGTGATGATGATGATGATGACGATAGCGGTGATGATGATGACGTTGATGATGATAGCGATGATGATGATGACGATGATGATGATGACGATGATGACGATGATGACGACGATGATGACGTTGACGATGTTGTGATGTCGTTTGTCACAGCTCGACGCCGCTGAAGTTCCACCCCACCCCGGTGCAGTGACTCCTCCCTCCTCCTCCTCCACCTCCTCCTCATCCTCCTCCTCCACCTCCTCGTCCTCCCGCTCCTCTTCGGCGGCGGCGGCGGCGGCGGCGGCGGCGGGAGGAGGTGGAGGAGGTGGAGGAGGAGGTGGAGGAGGTGGAGGAGGAGGTGGTGGAGGGGTAGGAGGAGGAGGTGGAGGAGGAGGAGGAGGAGCGGTGGCTGTGGACGTGGAGGCTGTGGACGTGGAGGCTGTGGACGTGGAGGCTGTAGTGGCCTCGATGACGTTGCTGGCCACGGCAAGTGCCGGGACGGTGGACGGCTTCCCGCTGTGTGGCACGCTGGGACCTGCACTGGCACACGCACGGAGCTGCAGTGCACTGGGAGACGGTGGGTGGGTGGGTGGGTGAGTGGGTGGGTGAGTGGGTGTGTGAGTGGGTGAGTGGGTGGATGGGTGGGTGGTTGGGTGGGTGAGTGGGTGGGTGGGTGGGTGAGTGGGTGGGTGGGTGAGTGGGTGAGTGGGTGGGTGGGTGGGTGAGTGAGTGAGTGGGTGGGTGGGTGGGTGAGTGGGTGGGTGGGTGGGTGGGTGAGTGGGTGGGTGGGTGGGTGGGTGAGTGGGTGGGTGAGTGAGTGAGTGGGTGAGTGGGTGGGTGGGTGGGTGAGTGAGTGAGTGGGTGGGTGGGTGGGTGGGTGAGTGGGTGGGTGGGTGGGTGAGTGGGTGGGTGGGTGAGTGGGTGGGTGGGTGGGTGAGTGAGTGGGTGAGTGAGTGGGTGAGTGGGTGGGTGGGTGGGTGAGTGAGGGGGTGGGTGGGTGAATGAGTGAGTGGGTGAGTGAGTGCATGGGTGGGTGAGTGTGCGGGTGAGTGGGTGAGTGAGTGAGTGAGTGGGTTAGTGGGTGGGTGAGTGGGTGGGTGAGTGGGTGAGTGGGTGAGTGGGTGGGTGAGTGAGTGAGTGAGTGGGTGGGTGGGTGAGTGGGTGAGTGGGTGAGTGGGTGGGTGGGTGAATGAGTGAGTGGGTGAGTGAGTGCATGGGTGGGTGAGTGTGTGGGTGAGTGGGTGAGTGAGTGGGTGGGTGAGTGAGTGAGTGAGTCAGTGGGTGAGTGGGTGGGTGGGTGGGTGAGTGAGTGGGTGAGTGAGTGCATGGGTGGGTGAGTGGGTGGGTGAGTGGGTGAGTGGGTGAGTGAGTGAGTGGGTGGGTGAGTGGGTGGGTGGGTGAATGAGTGAGTGGGTGAGTGAGTGCATGGGTGGGTGAGTGTGTGGGTGAGTGGGTGAGTGGGTGAGTGAGTGGGTGGGTGGGTGAGTGAGTGAGTGAGTGGGTGAGTGGGTGGGTGGGTGAGTGAGTGGGTGAGTGAGTGCATGGGTGGGTGGGTGAGTGGGTGAGTGAGTGGGTGGGTGAGTGGGTGGGTGAATGAGTGAGTGTATGAGTGAGTGTGTGAGTAGTGAGTGTATGAGTGAGTAGTGAGTGAGTGAGTGTATGAGTGAGTGAGTGGGTGAGTGGGTGAATGAGTAGTGAATGAGTGAGTGTGTGGGTGAGTGAGTGAGTGTATGAGTGTGTGAGTATTGAGTGTATGAGTGAGTAGTGAGTGAGTGAGTGAGTGTGTGAGTGAGTGTATGTGTGAGTGAGTAGTGAGTGTATGAGTGAGTGTGTGAGTAATGAGTGTATGAGTGAGTGAGTAGTGAGTGTGTGTGTGTGAGTAGTGTATGTGTGTGTGAGTAGTGAGTGTATGAGTGAGTAGTGAGTAGTGAGTGAGTAGTGAGTGTATGAGTGAGTGAGTAGTGAGTGAGTGTGTGTGTGTGAGAGTAGTGAGTGAGTGTATGAGTGAGTAGTGAGTGAGTGTGTGTATTAGTGAGTAGTGAGTGAGTGTGTGAGTATATGAGTGAGTAGTGAGTGTATGTGTGTGTGAGTGTATGAGTGAGTGAGTAGTGAGTGTGTGTGTGTGTATGAGTGTGTATGAGTGAGTACTAAGTGTGTGTGTGTGTGAGTAGTGAGTGTATGAGTGAGTGTGTGTATGAGTGTGTATGAGTGAGTAGTGAGTGTGTGTGTGAGTGTGTATGAGTGAGTGTATGAGTGAGTGTATGAGTGAGTAGTGTGTGAGTGAGTAGTGAGTGTATGAGTGAGTGTATGAGTGAGTGAGTAAGTAGTGAGTGTTTGAGTGAGTAGTGAGTGTATGTGTGTGTGTGTATTAGTGAGTGAGTAGTGAGTGTATTAGTGAGTAGTGAGTGAGTGTATGTGTGTGTGAGTGTGTGAGTGAGTAGTGAGTGAGTGAGTGTGAGTGTATGAGTTTGTGTATGAGTGAGTGTATGAGTGAGTGTATGAGTGAGTGAGTAGTGAGTGAGTAGTGTGTGTTTGTGTGTGTGAGTGAGTAGTGAGTGTATGAGTGAGTGAGTGAGTAGTGAGTGTTTGAGTGAGTAGTGAGTGTATGTGTGTGAGTGTATGAGTGAGTGAGTAGTGAGTGTATTAGTGAGTAGTGAGTGAGTGTATGTGTGTGTGAGTGTGTGAGTGAGTAGTGAGTGAGTGAGTGTGAGTGTATGAGTTTGTGTATGAGTGAGTGTATGAGTGAGTGTATGAGTGAGTGAGTAGTGAGTGAGTAGTGTGTGTTTGTGTGTGTGAGTGAGTAGTGAGTGTATGAGTGAGTGAGTGAGTAGTGATTGTTTGAGTGAATAGTGAGTGTTTGAGTGAATAGTCAGTGTATGTGTGTGTGAGTGTATGAGTGAGTGAGTAGTGAGTGTATTAGTGAGTAGTGAGTGAGTGTATGTATGTGTGTGTGAGTGAGTGAGTGTGTGAGTGAGTAGTAGTGTGTGAGAGAGAAGTGAGTGTATGTGTGTGTGAGTGTATGAGTGAGTGAGTAGTGTATGAGTGTGTGTATGAGTGTGTGTGTGTGAGTGAGTAGTGAGTGAATGTATGAGTGAGTGAGTGTATTAGTGAGTAGTAAGTAAGTGTGTGTGAGTGTGTGAGTAGTAAGTGTAAGTGTGTGTGTGAGTAGTGAGTAGTGAGTGTAAGTGTGTGTGTGAGTAGTGAGTAGTAAGTGTGTGTAAGTGTGTGTGTGAGTAGTGTATGAGTGTGTATAAGTAAGTGTAAGTGTGTGTGTGAGTAGTGTATGAGTGTGTATAAGTAAGTGTAAGTGTGTGTGTGAGTAGTGTATGAGTGTGTATAAGTAAGTGTAAGTGTGTGAGTGTGTATGAGTAAGTGTGTGTATGAGTGAGTAGTGTGTAAGAGTGTGTATAAGTAAGTGTAAGTGTGTGTGAGTGTGTATAAGTAAGAGTGTGTGTGTGAGTGTATTAGTGAGTAGTAAGTGTATAAGTAAGTGTAAGTGTGTGTGAGTAGTGTAAGAATGTGTATAAGTAAGTGTGTGTGTGCGAGTGTGTGTGAGTGTGTATGAGTAAGTGTGTGTGTGAGTAGTGTGTGAGTGTGTATAAGTAAGTGTGTAAGTGTGTGTGTGAGTGTGTGTGAGTGTGTATAAGTAAGTGTGTGTGTGTGTGTGAGTAGTGTAAGAGTGTGTATAAGTAAGTGTGTGTGTGTGTGTGAGTAGTGTAAGAGTGTGTATAAGTAAGTGTGTGTGTGTGTGAGTGTGTGTGAGTGTGTATGAGTGTGTATGAGTAAGTGTGTGTGTGTGAGTAGTGTGTGTGAGTGTGTATAAGTAAGTGTGTAAGTGTGTGTGTGAGTGTGTGTGAGTGTGTATAAGTAAGTGTAAGTGTGAGTGTGTGTGAGTGTGTATAAGTAAGTGTAAGTGTGTGTGAGTAGTGTAAGAGTATGTATAAGTAAGTGTAAGTGTGTGTGTGAGTATGTGTGAGTAAGTGTAAGTGTGTGTGTGAGTAGTGTGTGTGAGTGTGTATAGGTAAGTGTAAGTGTGTGTGAGTGTGTATAAGTAAGTGTAAGTGTGTGTGTGAGTGTGTATAAGTAAGTGTAAGTGTGTGTGTGAGTGTGTATAGGTAAGTGTAAGTGTGTGTGTGTGAGTGTGTATAAGTAAGTGTAAGTGTGTGTGTGAGTAGTGTAAGAGTGTGTATAAGTAAGTGTAAGTGTGTGTGTGAGTGTGTGTGAGTGTGTGTGAGTGTGTATAAGTAAGTGTGTGTGTGTGAGTGTGTATAAGTAAGTGTGTAAGTGTGTGTGTGTGTGTGAGTAGTGCAAGAGTGTGTATAAGTAAGTGTAAGTGTGTGTGTGAGTGTGTATAAGTAAGTGTAAGTGTGTGTGTGAGTAGTGTGTGTGAGTGTGTATAGGTAAGTGTAAGTGTGAGTAGTGTGTGTAAGTGTGTATAAGTAAGTGTAAGTGTGTGTGTGAGTGTGTATAAGTAAGTGTGTGTGTGAGATTGTGTGAGTGTGTGTGAGTGTGTATAAGTAAGTGTGTAAGTGTGTGTGTGTGTGAGTGTGTATAAGTAAGTGTGTAAGTGTGTGTGAGTGTGTGTGAGTGTGTATAAGTAAGTGTAAGTGTGTGTGTGAGTAGTGTATGAGTGTGTATAAGTAAGTGTAAGTGTGTGTGTGAGTGTGTGTGTATAAGTAAGTGTAAGTATGTGTGTATTAGTGAGTAGTGTGTATAAGTAAGTGTAAGTGTGTGTGTGAGTGTGTATAAGTAAGTGTGTAAGTGTGTGTGTGTGTGAGTGTGTATAAGTAAGTGTAAGTGTGTGTGTGTATAAGTAAGTGTAAGTGTGTGTGAGTGAGTGTGTATAAGTAAGTGTAAGTGTGAGGGTGTATAAGTAAGTGTGTATAAGTAAGTGTAAGTGTGTGTGAGTGTGTGTGAGTGTGTATAAGTAAGTGTGTAAGTGTAAGTGTGTATGTGTGTGTGAGTGTGTATAAGTGTGTGTGTGTGAGTGTGTATAAGTAAGTGTAAGTGTGTGTGTGAGTGGTGTATGTGTGTGTATAAGTAAGTGTGTAAGTGTGTGTGTGTGTGAGTGTGTATAAGTAAGTGTAAGTGTGTGTGTGAGTGTGTATAAGTAAGTGTAAGTGTGTGTGAGTAGTGTGTGTGAGTGTGTATAAGTAAGTGTAAGTGTGTGTGAGTGTGTATAAGTAAGTGTGTGTGAGTAGTGTGTGTGAGTGTGTATAAGTGTGTGTGTGTGTGTGAGTGTGTATAAGTAAGTGTAAGTGTGTGTGTGAGTGTGTGTAAGTGTGTGTGTATGTGTAAGTGTGTAAGTGTTTGTGTGTGTGTGAGTGGTCCAGGCCTGCACCGCGCCCGGCCCGGCCGCCGTGCCGGCTTCTTGGTGCGGCTGGCTGACCGTGCCGGGGAGGCGATCCCTGGGGCTCACGACAGCCCCCAAGTGTCCATACTTCACCGTGAGAACACGCGCTGGTGAGGATCGCTCACCACCTCACTCGCTCGCTCACCACCTCGCTCGCTCGCTCACCCACTCACTCGCTCGCTCACCCACTCACTCACTCACCCACTCACTCACCACATCACTCGCTCACTCACTCGCTCACCACTACACTCGCTCACTACCTCACTCGCTCACCACATCACTCGCTCACTCACTCGCTCACCACTACACTCGCTCACTCACCCACTCACTCGCTCGCTCACCCACTCACTCACTCACCCACTCACTCACCACATCACTCGCTCACTCACTCGCTCACCACTACACTCGCTCACTACCTCACTCGCTCACCACATCACTCGCTCACTCACTCGCTCACCACTACACTCGCTCACTCACCCACTCACTCGCTCGCTCACCCACTCACTCACTCACCCACTCACTCACCACATCACTCGCTCACTCACTCGCTCACCACTACACTCGCTCACTACCTCACTCGCTCACCACATCACTCGCTCACTCACTCGCTCACCACTACACTCGCTCGCTCACCCACTCACTCGCTCGCTCACCCACTCGCTCACTCACCACTCACTCACCACATCACTCGCTCACTCACTCGCTCACCACTACACTCGCTCACTACCTCACTCGCTCACCACATCACTCGCTCACTCACTCGCTCACCACTACACTCGCTCACTCACCCACTCACTCACCACCTCACTCACTCACTCACCCACTCACTCACCCACACACACCCACACACCCACTCACTCACTCACTCACCCACCCACCCACTCACCCACCCACCCACCCACTCACCCACCCACTCACCCACCCACTCACCCACCCACCCACCCACTCACTCACCCACCCACCCACTCACCCACCCACTCACCCACCCACCCACTCACTCACTCACTCACCCACCCACTCACTCACCCACCCACTCACTCACCCACTCACTCACTCACCCACCCACTCACCCACCCACTCACCCACCCACTCACCCACCCACTCACTCACCCACTCACTCACCCATCCACTCACCCACGCACCCACTCACTCACCCACCCACCCACCCACTCACCCACCCACCCACTCACCCACCCACCCACCCACTCACCCACTCACCCACCCACTCACCCACCCACCCACCCACTCACCCACCCACTCACCCTCTCACCCCAAGAGCGAAGGGATCTCCGTGCTAGTTTTGCGATGTCCACTTCCACAGCGCGGTGGCGGTGGAGGTGACGCGTGGCAAGGGGGCGACGTTCAATGTCTCCTACACCGCCACGGACAGTGGTCGATACTTCATATCCGTCATGGTGCGCGGACGCCACATACAGGTGATGCACGCTCGCTCCTAATAACCGCCATGGTTCCTAATAACCGCCATGGTTCCTAATAACCGCCATGGTTCCTAATAACCGCCATGGTTCCTAATAACCGCCACGCTCGTTCCTAATAACCGCCACGCTCGCTCCTAATAACCGCCACGCTCGCTCCTAATAACCGCCATGGTTCCTAATAACCGCCATGATTCCTAATAACCGCCATGGTTCCTAATAACCGCCACGCTCGCTCCTAATAACCGCCATGGTTCCTAATAACCGCCATGGTTCCTAATAACCGCCATGGTACCTAATAACTGCCATGGTTCCTAATAACCGCCACGCTCGTTCCTAATAACCGCCATGGTTCCTAATAACCGCCATGGTTCCTAATAACCGCCACGCTCGCTCCTAATAACCGCCATGGTTCCTAATAACCGCCATGGTTCCTAATAACCGCCATGGTTCCTAATAACCGCCATGGTTCCTAATAACCGCCACGCTCGTTCCTAATAACCGCCATGGTTCCTAATAACCGCCATGGTTTCTAATAACCGCCATGGTTCCTAATAACCGCCATGGTTCCTAATAACCACCACGCTCGTTCCTAATAACCGCCACGCTCGCTCCTCGTAACCGCGACAGTCCTCATGTTGATTATGATGCTGCTGCTGCTACTGACAATGCTGCTGATGCTGCTGCTACTACTGACAATGCTGCTGATGCTGCTGCTGATGATGATGATGACGATGCAACCACTGCAGCTACCGATAATGCCCCTACTGATGCTGCTGCTACTGATGATGACGCTGCTGCTGATGATGCTGCTGCTGATGATGATGCTGCTGCTGATGATGCTGCTGCTACTGATGATGACGCTGCTGCTGATGATGCTGCTGCTGCTGATGATGATGATGCTACTGATGATGCTGCTGCTACTGATGCTGCTGCTACTGATGATGCTGCTGCTACTGATGATGACGCTGCTGCTGATGATGCTGCTGCTGCTGATGATGATGATGCTACTGATGATGCTGCTGCTACTGATGCTGCTGCTACTGATGATGACGCTGCTGCTGATGATGCTGCTGCTGCTGCTGATGATGATGCTGCTACTGATGATGCTGCTGCTACTGATGATGACGCTGCTGCTGATGATGCTGCTGCTGCTGATGATGCTGCTGCTGCTGATGATGCTGCTGCTACTGATGATGCTGCTGCTGATGCTGCCGCAACTGATGCTGCTACTGATGATGCTGATGATGATGCTGATGATGACGCTGCTGCTACTGATGCTGCTACTGATGATGATGATGCTGATGATGACGCTGCTGATGCTGCTACTGATGATGACGCTACTGATGCTGCTGCTACTGATGATGCTGCTACTGATGATGCTGCTACTGATGATGCTGCTACTGATGATGACGCTGCTGAGGCTGCTACTGATGATGACGCTACTGATGCTGCTGCTACTGATGATGCTGCTACTGATGATGCTGCTACTGATGATGCTGCTACTGATGATGATGCTACTGATGATGCTGCTGTTACTGATGATGACGCTGCTGCTACTGACGATGACGCTGCTGCTGATGATGCTGCGACTGATGATGTTGCTGCTGCTGCTGATGCTACTGATGATGACGCTGATGATGCTGCTACTGATGACGCTGCTGCTGATGCTGCTGCTGGGTCTGCAGGGCTCCCCGTTCTCCCTGCGAGTGTCAAACACCACCACCACCACCTCCGCCACCACCTCCACCACCGCCTCCGCCTCCACCGCCTCCGCCTCCACCGCCTCCACCGCCTCCTCCGCCACGGTGACGCCGTCACCGCCATCGCGAGGGCACCACCGTGGACTCTACCACTGCTGCTCCTTCTGCTCCAGCGGCGGGCAACGTGACGCACGCTGCCTGTGTGGGGGTAGCATGCCGGGTGAGACACGGGGGGAGACACGGGGGGAGACACGGGGGGAGACACGGGGGGAGACCCGGGGGGAGACACGGGGGGAGACACGGGGGGGGTAGCATGCATGGTGAGACACGGGGGGAGACACGGAGTAGCATGCCGGGTGAGACACGGGGGGAGACACGGAGTAGCATGCCCGGTGAGACACGGGGTGAGAGACACGGGGGTGAGACACGGGGGGTAGCATGCTGGGTGAGACACGGGGGGAGACACGGGGGGAGACACGGGGGGAGACACGGGGGGAGACACGGTGAGACACGGGGGGAGACACGGGGTAGCATGCCGGGTGAGACACGGGGGGAGACACGGGGGTGAGATACGGGGGGGGAGACACGGGGGGGGAGACACGGGGGGGAGACACGGGGGGTGAGACACGGGGGGGGAGACACGGGGGGGAGACACGGGGGTGAGACACGGGGAGACACGGGGAGACACGGGGAGACACGGGGGGGAGACACGGGGGTGAGACACGGGGGTGAGACAAGGGGGGGAGACACGGGGGGAGAGACACGGGGGGGAGACACGGGGGTGAGACACGGGGGGGAGACACGGGGGGGAGACACGGGGGTGAGACACGGGGGTGAGACAAGGGGAGGGAGACACGGGGGTGAGACACGGGGGGAGACACGGGGGGGAGACACGGGGGGGGAGACACGGGGGGGGAGACACGGGGGGTGAGACACGGGGGGAGACACGGGGGGAGACACGGGGGAGACACGGGGGGAGACACGGGGGAGACACGGGGGGTGAGACACGGGGGGAGACACGGGGGGAGACACGGGGGGAGACACGGGGGGTGAGACACGGGGGGAGACACGGGGGGAGACACGGGGGGAGACACGGGGGGTGAGACACGGGGGGAGACACGGGAGGAGACACGGGGGGAGACACGGGGGGAGACACGGGGGGAGACACGGGGGGTGAGACACGGAGTAGCATGCCGGGTGAGACACGGGGGGAGACACGGGGGGAGACACGGGGTAGCATGCCTGGTGAGACACGGGGAGAGACACGGGGGGAGACACGGGGTAGCATGCCTGGTGAGACACGGGGAGAGACACGGGGGGAGACACGGGGTAGCATGCCTGGTGAGACACGGGGGGTGACACGGGGGGAGACACGGGGGGAGACACGGGGTAGCATGCCGGGTGAGACACGGGGGGAGACACGGAGTAGCATGCCTAGTGAGACACGGGGGGAGACACGGGGAGACACGGGGGGAGACACGGGGGGAGAGACGGGGGGGTGAGGGGGTGAGACACGGGGGGTGAGACACGGTGAGACACGGGGGGAGACACTGGGGGGTGAGGGGGTGAGACACGGGGGCAGAGACACGGGGGGGAGACACGGGGGGAGACACGGGGAGGGGGGTGAGACACGGGGGCAGAGACACGGGGGGGGGGGTGAGACACGGGGGCAGAGACACGGGGGGGAGACACGGGGTGAGACACGAGGGTGAGACACGGGGGGAGACACGGGGGGGAGAGACGGGGGGGAGAGACCGGGGTGAGACACGGGGGGAGACACGGGGTGAGACACGGGGGGGAGAGACGGGGGGTGAGACACGGGGGGGTGAGGGGGTGAGACACGGGGGCAGAGACACGGGGGGGAGATACGGGGGGGGGGGTGAGACACGGGGGCAGAGACACGGGGGGGGGGGTGAGACACGGGGGCAGAGACACGGGGGTGAGACACGGGGGGAGACACGGGGTGAGACACGGGGGGGAGAGACGGGGGTGAGACACGGGGGGGAGACACGGGGGGGGAGACACGGGAGAGAGACACGGGGGAGAGACACGGGGGGGAGACACGGGGGGGAGACACGGGGGGAAGACACGGGGGGGAGACACGGGGGGGAGACACGGAGGGGGGGGGGGGAGTGAGACACTGAGGAGTGAGACACAGGGGAGTGAGACACAGGGGAGTGAGACACTGGGGAGTGAGACACAGGGGAGTGAGACACTGAGGAGTGAGACACTGGGGAGTGAGACACAGGGGAGTGAGACACAGGGGAGTGAGACACTGAGGAGTGAGACACAGGGGAGTGAGACACAGGGGAGTGAGACACAGGGAGTGAGACACAGGGGAGTGAGACACTGGGGAGTGAGACACTGAGGAGTGAGACACAGGGAGTGAGACACAGGGGAGTGAGACACTGGGGAGTGAGACACAGGGGAGTGAGACACTGAGGAGTGAGACACAGGGAGTGAGACACTGGGGAGTGAGACACAGGGGAGTGAGACACTGGGGAGTGAGACACAGGGAGTGAGACACAGGGGAGTGAGACACTGGGGAGTGAGACACTGAGGAGTGAGACACAGGGAGTGAGACACTGGGGAGTGAGACACTGAGGAGTGAGACACAGGGGAGTGAGACACAGGGGAGTGAGACACTGGGGAGTGAGACACTGGGGAGTGAGACACTGGGGAGTGAGACACTGAGGAGTGAGACACAGGGAGTGAGACACTGGGGAGTGAGACACAGGGGAGTGAGACACAGGGAGTGAGACACTGGGGAGTGAGACACAGGGGAGTGAGACACTGGGGAGTGAGACACTGAGGAGTGAGACACAGGGAGTGAGACACTGGGGAGTGAGACACTGGGGAGTGAGACACAGGGGAGTGAGACACTGAGGAGTGAGACACAGGGAGTGAGACACTGGGGAGTGAGACACAGGGGAGTGAGACACTGAGGAGTGAGACACAGGGAGTGAGACACAGGGGAGTGAGACACTGGGGAGTGAGACACTGGGGAGTGAGACACTGGGGAGTGAGACACTGAGGAGTGAGACACAGGGGAGTGAGACACAGGGGAGTGAGACACTGGGGAGTGAGACACTGGGGAGTGAGACACAGGGGAGTGAGACACTGAGGAGTGAGACACTGAGGAGTGAGACACTGGGGAGTGAGACACAGGGGAGTGAGACACAGGGAGTGAGACACTGGGGAGTGAGACACAGGGGAGTGAGACACAGGGGAGTGAGACACAGGGGAGTGAGACACAGGGAGTGAGACACAGGGAGTGAGACACTGAGGAGTGAGACACTGAGGAGTGAGACACAGGGAGTGAGACACTGAGGAGTGAGACACAGGGGAGTGAGACACTGGGGAGTGAGACACAGGGGAGTGAGACACAGGGGAGTGAGACACTGGGGAGTGAGACACTGAGGAGTGAGACACAGGGGAGTGAGACACAGGGGAGTGAGACACTGGGGAGTGAGACACTGAGGAGTGAGACACTGAGGAGTGAGACACTGGGGAGTGAGACACTGGGAGTGAGACACAGGGGAGTGAGACACTGAGGAGTGAGACACAGGGAGTGAGACACTGAGGAGTGAGACACAGGGAGTGAGACACTGGGGAGTGAGACACTGGGGAGTGAGACACGGGCTGAGAATTTTGACTTAAAACCTTCGTGACTGCAGGAATTTATATTTTTGGTTCTTTCGGTAAAGTCACGTAGATTTAAAAAAATAATAAGAAAATTATAAATTAAAATAATGAAAAAAATAATAATAATCGAAGCAAATTACCAACAATAAAAAATAAAGATAGTAAAATAAAATTATTTTAAGTCGATTTATTAAACTATTTTTATTTGTTCTTTTTATCGTGGGTTTTTTCCTTTTATTATTTACAATTCATCATTTTATTTCATTTTTATTATCGAAAACATTTTTTATTTTAGTTTATTTTTTTGTTTAATATTTACGTAACGTTACCGAAAGAACCAAGAATATGAGACACGGGTGGGTGGGTGAGACACAGCGGAGACACGTGGGTTGGGGGGGTGGATGAGACACAGGGGAGACACATGTGAGACACATGTGAGACACATGTGAGACACAGGTGAGACACATGTGAGACACATGTGAGACACAGGTGAGACACATGTGAGACACATGTGAGACACATGTGTGACACATGTGTCTCACATGTGAGACACATGTGAGACACATGTGAGACACATGTGAGACACATGTGAGACACATGTGAGACACATGTGAGACACGGGGGATCTGTCTCTCTCCCCCCCCCCCCAGGAGGGTTCTTGGGCTGTGGCCACGGCCATCCCGGCCACCCCGGCCACCCCCACTGGTCCTGCTGCGGTCACCCCTCACGCTCCGCCACAGAGTGCCGGCCTCACCAGCAGCCTCACCGCCAGCCTCACCGCCAGCCTCACCGCCAGCCTCACCAGCAGCCTCACCAGCAGCCTCACCAGCAGCCTCACCGAGCTGGTGCTCTACCGCCACCGCCCGCACTCACAGCGAGAAGCCCCCAGCGGGGAGAGACCCTGTCAGCCACCGTGTGACACACACACAGTGACACACACACACAGTGACACACACACAGTGACACACACACAGTGACACACGCACAGTGACACACACAATGACACACACACACAGTGACACACACACAGTGATACACACACACAGTGACACACACACACACAGTGACACACACACACAGTTACACACACACAGTGTGACACACAGTGACACGCACACACAGTGACACACACAGTGACACACACACACAGTGACACACACACACAGTGACAAACACACACAGTGACACACACACAGTGACACACACACACAGTGACACACACACAGTGACACACACAGTGACACACACACACACAGTGACACACACACAGTGACGCACACACACACAGTGACACACACACAGTGTCACACACACACAGTGACACACACACAGTGACACACACACAGTGACACACACAATGACACACACACACAGTGACACACACACAGTGATACACACACACAGTGACACACACACACACAGTGACACACACACACAGTTACACACACACAGTGTGACACACAGTGACACGCACACACAGTGACACACACAGTGACACACACACACAGTGACACACACACACAGTGACACACACACACACAGTGACACACACACACACAGTGACACACACACAGTGACACACACAGTGACACACACAGTGACACACACACACAGTGACACACACACACAGTGACACACACAGTGACACACACACAGTGACACACACACAAAGTGACACACACAGTGACACACACACAGTGACACACACACACAGTGACACACACACACAGTGACACACACAGTGACACACACACAGTGACACACACACAAAGTGACACACACAGTGACACACACACAGTGATACACACACACACACAGTGACACACACACACACACAGTGACACACACAATGACACACACACACAGTGACACACACACACACAGTGACACACACAGTGACACACACACAGTGACACACACACAGTGACACACACATAGTGACACACACACAGTGACACACACACAGTGACACACACAGTGACACACACACACACATTGACACACACACATAGTGACACACATAGTGACACACACACACAGTGACACACACACACAGTGACACACAGTGACACACACACAGTGACACACACACAGTGACACACAGTGACACACACACACAGTGTCACACACAGTGACACACACAGTGACACACACACACAGTGACACACACACACACATAGTGACACACACAGTGACACACAGTGACACACACACACACAGTGACACACACAGTGACACACACAGTGACACACAGTGACACACACACACAGTGACACACACACACACAGTGACACACAGTGACGCACACACACACAGTGACACACACAGTGACACACACACAGTGACACACACAGTGACACACACACACAGTGACACACACAGTGACACACACACACAGTGACACACACACACAGTGACACACATACACAGTGACACACACAGTGACACACACAGTGACACACACACAATGACACACACATAGTGACACACACACACATAGTGACACACACAGTGACACACACATAGTGACACACACACACAGTGACACACACACACAGTGACACACACACAGTGACACACACATAGTGACACACACACAGTGACACACACACACACATAGTGACACACACACAGTGACACACACAGTGACACACACACACAGTGACACACACACACACATAGTGACACACACAGTGACACACAGTGACACACACACACACAGTGACACACACAGTGACACACAGTGACACACACACACAGTGACACACAGTGACGCACACACACACAGTGACACACACAGTGACACACACACAGTGACACACACAGTGACACACACACACAGTGACACACACATAGTGACACACACACAGTGACACACACACACATAGTGAGACACACAGTGACACACACATAGTGACACACACACACAGTGACACACACACAGTGACACACACATAGTGACACACACACAGTGACACACACACACATAGTGACACACACACAGTGACACACACATAGTGACACACACAGTGACATACACACAGTGACACACACACAGTGACACCCACACACAGTGACACACACACACACAATGACACACACACAGTGACACACACACACACAGTGACACACACACACACGGTGACACACACACACACACACACGGTGACACACACACACAGTGACACACACACACGGTGACACACACACGCACTTTGTCAAACACACAGTGACACACACACAGTGACACACACACAAAGTGACACACACAGTGACACACACACAGTGATACACACACACACACAGTGACACACACACACACAGTGACACACACAATGACACACACACACAGTGACACACACACACACAGTGACACACACAGTGACACACACACAGTGACACACACACAGTGACACACACATAGTGACACACACACAGTGACACACACACAGTGACACACACAGTGACACACACACACACATTGACACACACACATAGTGACACACATAGTGACACACACACACAGTGACACACACACACAGTGACACACAGTGACACACACACAGTGACACACACACAGTGACACACAGTGACACACACACACAGTGTCACACACACAGTGACACACACAGTGACACACACACACAGTGACACACACACACACATAGTGACACACACAGTGACACACAGTGACACACACACACACAGTGACACACACAGTGACACACACAGTGACACACAGTGACACACACACACAGTGACACACACACACACAGTGACACACAGTGACGCACACACACACAGTGACACACACAGTGACACACACACAGTGACACACACAGTGACACACACACACAGTGACACACACAGTGACACACACACACAGTGACACACACACACAGTGACACACATACACAGTGACACACACAGTGACACACACAGTGACACACACACAATGACACACACATAGTGACACACACACACATAGTGACACACACAGTGACACACACATAGTGACACACACACACAGTGACACACACACAGTGACACACACATAGTGACACACACACAGTGACACACACACACACATAGTGACACACACACAGTGACACACACAGTGACACACACACACAGTGACACACACACACACATAGTGACACACACAGTGACACACAGTGACACACACACACAGTGACACACACAGTGACACACAGTGACACACACACACAGTGACACACAGTGACGCACACACACACAGTGACACACACAGTGACACACACACAGTGACACACACAGTGACACACACACACAGTGGCACACACAGTGACACACACACACAGTGACACACACACAGTGACACACACATAGTGACACACACACAGTGACACACACACACATAGTGAGACACACAGTGACACACACATAGTGACACACACACACAGTGACACACACACAGTGACACACACATAGTGACACACACACAGTGACACACACACAGTGACACACACACAGTGACACACACATAGTGACACACACAGTGACATACACACAGTGACACACACACAGTGACACCCACACACAGTGACACACACACACACAATGACACACACACAGTGACACACACACACACAGTGACACACACACACACGGTGACACACACACACACACACACACGGTGACACACACACACAGTGACACACACACACGGTGACACACACACGCACTTTGTCAAACACACAGTGACACACACACAGTGACACACACACACAGTGACACACACACGGTGACACACACACAGTGACACACACACACAGTGACACATACACACACACGGTGACACACACACACACACACAGTGACACACACAGTGACGCACACACAGTGACACACACATACACGGTGACACACACACACAGTGACACACACACACACACACTGACACACACACATAGTGACACACACACACAGTGACACACACACAGTGACACACACATACACGGTGACACACACACACAGTGACACACACACACACACTGACACACACACATAGTGACACACACACACAGTGACACACACACAGTGACACACACATACACGGTGACACACACACACAGTGACACACACACACACACTGACACACACACATAGTGACACACACACACAGTGACACACACACAGTGACACACACATACACGGTGACACACACACACAGTGACACACACACACACTGACACACACACATAGTGACACACACACACAGTGACACATACACACGGTCATGCGGTGACACATGCAGTGATAGGGTGACCACACTCACCACCAACTCCCCCACCCACCAACTCCCCCACCCACTCACTCCCCCACCCACTCACCCACTCACCCACCCACCCACTCACCCACTCACTCACCCACCCACCCACTCACTCCCCCACCCACCCACTCACTCGCCCACCCACCCACTCACCCACCCACCCACTCACCCACTCACTCACCCACCCACCCACTCGCCCACTCACTCCCCCACCCACCCACTCACTCCCCCACCCACCCACTCACCCACTCACTCACTCACTCCCCCACCCACCCACTCACTCACTCCCCCACCCACCCACTCACTCACCCACTCACCCACTCACTCACTCACCCACCCACTCACTCACCCACCCACCCACTCACTCCCCCACCCACCCACTCACTCACCCACCCACCCACTCACTCACTCACTCACCCACCCACCCACTCACTCACTCACCCACTCACTCACTCACCCACCCACCCACTCACCCACTCACTCCCCCACCCACCCACTCACTCACCCACCCACCCACTCACTCACTCACTCACCCACCCACTCACCCACTAACTCCCCCACTCACCCACTCGACCACCCACTCACTCCCCCACCCACTCGCCCACTCACTCCCCCACCCACTCACTCGCCCACTCACTCCCCCACCCACCCACCCACTCACCCACTCACTCCCCCACCCACCCACTCACCCACACAC